TATAAAGAACTGAGAGAGCATGCCTGTAATCCCAGCTACTGGGAGGCTGAAGCAGGAGGATCACAAGTTCAAGGCCAGCCTGGGCAACTTGGTGAGACCATTTCAAATTAAAATTTAAAAAAGGGCTGGGGATGTATGTCAGTGGTAAAGTGCTTGCCTAGCATTCATGAGGCCGTGGATTTGGACCCCATCACTGGCGGCTGCCGGGGCAGAGTGAGAATTGAGAGGAAAAACATCTATGAAAAAAAAATCTATGGCACAAATGTTTTTGTAACTCCATGAATTTGCTCATGAAAACAGAGCAACCAGGATAGCAGTGGACATCTACAACAAATATGGGTGATAAGATATCCCCACAAATCCCCAAATTCAAGTAGATGGAATGACTAGCAGCTCTAAGACTTGTGTGATATCAGCATTTCTGAGGAAAGAAGCAGATGCAAACAACAAGGTGTCTGAGAAATTTAAGAATAAGGGAACCCCAAAATAGCCAACAGGTGCCCCCTGGAAAGCACAGTGGAACACTAGGAGAAGGGCTGCAGAAACCGGGGTTTTGTATAACTCATTTTGTAGCCCAGGTCCTGGGAGCTCTCCAAACTGACCAAAGGTGCTTCCCAGAACACAGAGAAAATACTGCAGGGAACAAAACACAAGTAGGCTGGAGGAGGATATTTGGGACAGAAGAAAGAGAAGTCCAGATACTTGTGGGGGAGGGGAACAGAGCCAAGGGATCCCTGAGAGCTTGAAGCACTTTGTGAAAACAGAAAAGGAAGCTGTAGAGCCTAGAGTTTAGAAAAGCTGCTCTGACTCACCTCTCCCTCCTAATTGTGAAGGAAAATTAGTTCCATGTAAAAAAAGAGCAACAGAGGACTGCAGTCCAACATCATAATGAAGTTATTTTAAGAAAAATGAGAACAAGGAGTAGAATAACATCCCTGATGGGGATGGACACATTCCATCCAGGCTTGCCCACAAAACCAGGTCAGCTATAACTTAGTGTTTCAAAATGAGCTACGAGAAAATAGAAGATGGTATAGTACATGAAAGAAAATCAGAGTTGTAAAGCAGGGACTGTAGCTCAGTAGTAGAGCACTTACCTGGCATGTATGAGGCACTGGGTTCAATCCTCAGCACCACATAAAAATAAATAAAGATACTGTGTCATCCACAGATTTTATTTTACTGTCTGTTCGTAGGTAACAGTCTCCTTTGTAAACAACCTAGATTTAATAGTGAGAAAAACTATGTATGATTGAAGCCTGGGTTATACCCTCTGCTTGTACTATATGGGTTTCCCTTATGGATCTCCCTCTCTTCATTGATCTTCTCCCTGAGGTCTAACCCCCATGAAGCAGACAGCAGCCAACCCACCAAGCAGCTAACAAGAAGTACAACCTGGCTCCAGAAAGGAGGAGACTGAGCTTTCCTATCAATTTGCTGAACCTTTCAAATTCTTCCCTAAGGCTTGGAGCTTCCCCCCCACCCCAATGTACCAGATGTACCCTGAGACATGTGTTCTTGTGTCCTCCATGCCCCACAGGGAAATATCATCCATAGGTCTTGAATTTACTTTCTTGTTTCATAAGAGACAATGGATGTCCAAGGAACTGTCTTTCAAAATAAATTTCTTTATTTTGTCTTTGCAATGCTAATCACATTTTAATCAAGAGTTTGCAGCCTTCTCGCTTGGAAGGATTGAATTTGAAACTTACCACATGGGGAGAAAGAAGTGTTATTTATCACCACCACCCCTTATATTTTTTAAGACTATAAAATATAAGACTATGGGCTGGAGTTATAGCTCAGTGGCAGAACACTTGCTTCACCCATGTGAGGCCCTGGGTTTGATCCTCAGCACCACATAAAAATAAAGATATTAAAAGATATATAAGACTATATAATAAGTGAAGAATTTGAAATAAACACTTTAGGGGAATTATGGCTTATTTAAAAATATTAGAGCAATTTGAAAGCAAAATGTAATTCCCATGGGCATCCCTGAATGATGTTGGGGAAGAGAGTGGTGGCTTAAGACGAGTGTCCAGGTTTTTCCAGGATCTCCCATTATTCATAGGTTAGATCTTCTTTGCCTATTTTTTTCTATTTGTCACTTTAAAAAATCATTTTTAGGGCTGGATTGTAGCTCATTGGTAGAATACTTGCCTACCATGCGTGAGGCACTGGGTTTGATCCTTAGCACCATATTAAAAAAAAAAAAATAAAGAATTGTGTCCACCTATAACTAAAAAATAAAAAAAAAAAAATTATTTCTATTTCTTTATTCCTTTTTGATTAAAATGTGCCCACCCTTTGTTATGGCATTATTGCTGATTTTTTCTTTTATATTTATTTCTTTCCTGAGTTCTGACACATAATTTCCAAGTTTTTCTAATACCAATTGGTATTATTATTTTATGTCTTGTGTCAATTTAATTTGTTTTATTCCATTTGAAGGATTAGGTTACAGTTTTCATCCATTTAGTGCATGTCTTTCTGAAGTGCTGCTTGTCTTTCTTTTACATATGTGTACAGTGACTTTCCAAGACCTTACAGCTAAAGAGTGGCAGAGGAGTTGTTCATACCTATGTTTATCTGACCTCAAAGCTTGTATCTTTCCACAGTGTGCCAGGAACCTTATAAACAAAAGCTCATTTAATATAACATCTTACAAGATGGTTTTATTATTGATGAGGAAACTAAGGCTCAGAAAGCAACTGCAGCCAGGTGCAGTGGCACATGCCTGCAATCCCAGCAACTTGGGAGGCTAAGGTAGGAGGATCTCAAATTCAAAGCCAGCCTCAGCAACGGTGAGGTGCTAAGCAACTCAGTGAGACCCTGTCTCTAAGTAAAATATAAAAAAGGGCTGGGCATGTAGTTCAATGGTAAAGCATCCCTGAGTGCAACCCCTAGTATATAAAAAAAAGAAAAAAAAAAAAAAAGCAACTGCAGATAGTAGCGGGCACTATCTGTGGTCATTACAACATTTACAGGGCACTGACTCCTCAGTTCCTGCTTGACAGCAATGGTTTAGTTCTCACACAAGTAGGGGCATCTGTCTCAGTAGCTCAGCACTGAATATGATCTCATGGGCTTTAGTGCAGAGGATGTAGTAGCCTCCTGATATTTGGGTAATAATTCCTTTCTCCCATTTGCTACCACAACCCTGTTCTTTCTCCCCTGTGCTTTCTTAGCCCTTCCAACACTTTTATCAGTTCATTGCATTAAATCTTTCTTCGATTGGGATAATAAAATGTTGTTGTCCAGAATAGACATTGTCTGATACAGTTAATTTTGTCCATCCATTCATTTTTTAAACATTCATGGACTACTTATTAATGTGATAGCTCCTTTGGAAACAGTATAAGACAACATTCCTGCCTTTGTGAAGCTTGCTTACCAATGAGAAGTTAGACAGTAAGTAAACAGAAAATTATAAAAGATAATTAAGAATATAAGAAGTGCTATGAAGATAAAGATGGCTTAAATAAAAAATAATCATCTGTCTTGTGTAAATATTGTCAGGAGGCAAAGACAGCCCAGGACTGGTATGGTTGCTCCAAATAATCAAGTCTCTTTTAAGGGCAGTACTTCATTTTTCTGTAGTGTGGCCCTCTTGCTGTGGTCCATATGGTGCTGGCACTCAAACCAGCACATCCAAACTTCAGGCACCTGAATGGTGAAAGGGATTAAGATGTAATGATCACGCACTAACTTTTTTAAAAGGATGTATCTAGGAAGTTACCATGTAATGCTTTATGATATTGGCCTGAACTCAGTTACCGGCCATACCTCACTACACAGGAGGAAGGGGATAGGGTTTATCCATCAGCCTATATAAAAGCTGAGAGTTCTACTATTAAAAAAATAAGGGAGAATAGACCTGAAGTAGAGAATTGGTAGTCTTTACCATAGAAACTAAATAAGTTCTTGTGATTTCAAATAACCTGGTGTTTATGGACATTCATATAGATTGATTCTTTATAATTTTTTTCCACCACAAGATAGAAGGTTTCTTGATGGCAGAGACTTGATCTAGCAATGTAATCCAAGTTTGTCCCATAATGATTCAGAAATGACATATTATGTGGTTATGGGAAGTACATATGATATAATCTTAAAGCAACTCAGGAACCATTACAGAGCAACCAACTCAGCAAACATACAGAGAATTATGTGTGATCTCAATTTCACTCACTAGCCTATGAGTTTCTTCAGAGTCAGTAAATTACTGAGTCTATCCCTCTATCTTCCTGGAGTATTGAATAGACTGTGAAATGTAATCGACTATACAGAGGTATTGGCAGTATTCACCCAAAGATCTCACTGAGGCTGCAAGCAATCAGAGAAGACTTCATTAAGGAAACCTGAGTTGGTGAAAAGCTTTCTTTCTTACTAATAGGAAATCAATGATAATCTATAGAGCACATTATTTATATCCTCACAGCATCACAGTATACTTGTTTTATTTTTATCCTTATTTTACAGATAAGAAATGGAGGTTCCGAGATGGCCAAGATATCAGCATGTGCAGAACTGGAATTAGAAACCAGATTTTATGAAACCAAATGCATCCCTCTTAATAAAGTCCCCCAATTTTTAAAGATTTCAGTTAGGTCACTGAGTACCTATTTGTGGAGAGGGCCACAGCATCCTTTGATTTCACTTTAGGAGGTTGATAAAGTAATGGAGAGAAATGAGGACAGATAATTCTGTTACACCTTTATAACTACAGAATTCAATCCATCAATACCGTGGATATTATAAAAATCAATCCCGAGGCTTTGTAAAAGACTACGATTCCCAGCATGCTTCAAATCACCGCCGGGAAGACTTCGACTCCCGGCATGCTGTACTTTGGAACTCCGAGTCCCAGAATGCAACGTTCCTCCACGGTCCCAGAAGGTCGTCGAGACTACAGTTCCCAGCATGCAGCGCCGCCGCCCCTTGTTTCTGAAGCCCCGCTGGCCCCTGCTTCGGAGGGAATTTTTGGATCCCAGAGAACGGTTCTTGGAGTCACAGCCCCCTTTGGGGGACGCGAATGTCGGGCAGTTCTGGCCCGTGGAGCCTACCCGGGACAAGCATCTAAGGAATGGGTTGCGACTTGGTTCAGACTTTACTCAGGCAGTGTTTCAGGCAGCCCCAACGGGGTCCTCCCGGGGCCTTGGTGCCTTTGAACTGCTGTGGCGGGCGGGCACACGGTCTCCCCCACTGCTTAGAGTCGGGCCCGCCATCTCCATGGCCACGGCTACGAGTGGACCCTGCGCCGGCGGGTCGCGGGACATCCTGTGGCGCGTGAGTGCAGCTCACTGGGGCGCTCGCCGATGGGCATGGGTTGGGCGGGCGGGCTCCGACCGCGCGTGCGCTCTGGACTGGTAGGGTGCCTGTCGGAAGACAGCGTGGGGAGGGGACCGCCCGGGGGACTGATTACGGGGGCTGTGGCGACGTCCTTGAGGGGATGCTGGGTACTGGATGAGAGAGGAGTCAGAAGTGAAAGCTGGCCTGCCTGGCGTGGATGATTTGACTGGAAATTGGGGCAGAGAATGGGGAGGGATTTTATGCAAGTGTATCCTGTAGGTGCAAAATAAGTAACTTGATTCCTTGGGATAAGAAGTGAGAAAGGAAGAGCTGGGGATATAGCTCAAAGGAAGAGTGCATGCCTATCATGCATAAGCCCCTGGGTTCCATCCCCAGAACGGAAGTGGGGAAAAGTTGGGAATAATGTCCAGAATTGGGAAGAATGTAGTGTGGCCTTGGCACTTACTGGGGTTGGAGACCAGGTAAGCAGGGCACATATTCTTGGTAGAGGTAAATATCCACCGTGGGACTGAGCTGAGGACATGCTTCCTCCTTCATGTCTTCTGTGGAGGGCAAAGAGAGATGGAAGTAAGGTTACTTTTGGGGTAGGGCCTCTACCATCATGTACTGTCATCTCCTCTATCCTCAGTTAAACACTTTCAGGTGTTATCTACTCTTTACCACCTATGTTATATATTCCTGTAGTGTTTACCTTGGAAATGTGGCTACATTTTGTTCCTCATTCCCATGGCTATTGCCTTTGTGCAGACATTGACTGTAATCTCTGACTTGGTCTGTTGTGGTCGGCCGTCCCTAACCATTGTGCCTCCTGTCTGGATCTGGTCTCCTCCAGGATATCTTTTTTTCAGCCACCTTATGGTTCCAGTTGTCACTGTCATGCTTAAAACTTCTCAGTATCTCCTATTAATTGACAGTAAGTCTTGTTCTTCCTTATGTTAGGCACTGAGATTTAGAAAAGAGTACAGTGTTACAATGTGTTAGTTACCCGGTAAGAAATGCATGTTTGTGGTTCTCAAGTATACAGCCTTTGGATATTCCTATAATTATCTAGAATCTGGAGAGATAAGTGGTAAATATGATTATAAAACTAAATAAGACGGTCTTAATCTCTACCCCAAAGTGTGATGTTTAATATAACACCTGACTCTGGACCTAATCCAAGCATCAGTTCACTAATTGTTATAAAGTTCTTAAGTGGTATGTGATATTATTATAATAGTAATCATTTGGGTTTGTATATAATTGCATGGTCTATGATCTGGGTATATATGTATTAGTGACTAATAGCCTGTATGAAGAGATAGGATTTGCATAACTGAAATGATTTAACTGACTTCATGATTGAGGGAGTTTTGTTTGTTTAATTTTAGGTTTTGGGCTGGAGGATAGTTGCAAGTGTTGTTTGGTCAGTGTTGCTTCTACCCATCTGTGCTACGGTATTTATAGTCTTCAGCAGTATTGATTTATTTCATCCCATACAGTGGCTGTCAGGTAAGTGATATTCAATTTAGAGAAAACATAAAAATTGCACTATGTTTCAAATAATTTTTTTCTGATTACTGCCTGTATTGACACACCAAACATTGACTTTAAGATAAGTTTAAGGCATTGCCTGTATAACATAAAACACCTTTTTATTATATAATGAGATTGGTAAACTTACCAAGAAAAAGCTTAATTTTTCTTTGTCTTTCTTTTTGACACCTTTATTGATCCTGTCTGTCTTTTTAAAAAAAGAACTGCTACTATCATCTGTTTTAAATTGTGGGTAGAAAATATGACTAAATTAAGAATCCTTCATTTTTATATTGTAGCTAATAAAAAAAGATAAGGAAAGGATGAACTTTTGGCTAGGGAAGATACAGTTAAATTCAAAAATTGATAAGAGAAAAGATTGAGGTAGGCTAAAATGTTTCTCTGAATCTTTGGAGACAAAATTACTAAGTGCACTAAAATATAACTTGTTTTATGTCCATTAATAATGGCTACCAGTTATTTCTCATTTTTTTAGCATGCTGGGCACTATGCTAAGCACCTTACATACATTATCTCTTTCATATTATTCCTACTTTATAAATGAGTAAAATAATCTGTGCAGAGATACTCAGCTAGTGAGTGACTAATCTAGGATTTGGGTATTAGTTTGTGGCATCTAAGTTGATGTTTTTCCGTGATGCTGCACTAGAATTATCTCTTTTTTTTTTGAGATAAATGTTGACAGAATAGGTTTTGAAATCTTTAAAGTCTTGCCTAAGGCTAAGAAAGACAAATTTCTTGAACGTCTGGTCATAACAACATAACAACAATGGTATATTTATTTTGTTTTTGTGTATTTTAAGTTTCATAAGAAAGTGCCAATTTTTAGGGAGTTAGAATCTTTACCTTTTGGCCTTTGGAGATATTGCTGCTAAAGAATTAAAGTCATGTAAGTCTTCTGTTAATCTGTTTCAGTCATTTCTTGAACAGGTTGCACAGGTCAGATAAAATTAAGCCATATGCCAGTGCAGAGATAGCAGGAATTTAATTGTGAAGGCTTAGTAAGTAGTTTCATTATTTTGAGTACTGAGTTGTATTTTTAAAGATAATTGGTTTCATTATGAAGTTTTAGTTTGTTTAGCAAACACATTCTATTGTTTTTATTTCTTTTATTTACATTTTTGGGCAAAATATATACATATCTTAAACTTTGAATTGGAATATTAATTGTCACACTACCCTGAAAGGGTGACTTCTTAGTGTTTCACGGAACATCAAAATTGTTTTTCTTAGTTTAGCTCTTTTAGATGATTTATGGGTTATGCTATTTCTAAAGACGTTACTTTGACTTTAGTTAAAATGCATTTATTAAGATGAGATCTGAAAAATATTTTTACACTTTAAAAAGCAATTTTGTTGGTGTATTACTAACTATGGTACTTCTCTTTCACATGATGAAATGTTTGCATATGGCAGTATTTGATCTGATGTCAACATCTGGGCGATTTAAAAGAAATTTGAATGTAATTTTAAAGCACCCAGAGCCAAATTGGAATAACTCACACTGGAGTTCTTGAGTTGATGTCCCACTGGACCTGTCAGCAGTGTACAATTAAATTCTTGAAGGAAAGATAACTTCTAAAGTTAAAATTACAGTTGAGGTTCAAACCTTTGCTATATTGCCATGTGCTCAGCATGATTACAAGACTGAATAAACTTAACCAATTTATCTCTTATGTTTTAGATTCTTTCAATGATCTATATAGCTCCTATGTAATCTTTTACCTCCTGCTGCTGTCAGTGGTAATAATAATAATAAGTATTTTCAATGTGGAGTTCTATGCAGGTGAGTTTTCAAATGTTAACGTTTTTAAAAGTCTGAATTTATTTTACTAAGGCAGACTAAGTGCATTTTATATGTGAATATGTATAACAAGCTGAATTTTGTGTCACGTTTTTAAGGATATATACAAAATCATGTGCTTTGAATATATATTACAATTAATATTGGTGCTAATTTCTATTTTAAAAATATACCTAGACCTTTTAGGACAATTGTTGTATGATTCCACTAAAATAGAGTGGTGTTTTCTAGGGGTTGGGGATTACTGAATGGGTAGAGTTTGAGTTGGGGAAGATGCCAAAGTTTTGGAAGTAGGTGGTGAGGTGGTTGCACAACAGTGTGAACATATTTAGGCCACAAAACTGTATGCTTGAAAATGGTTCAGATGGTAAATTTTATTGATGTGTATTTTGCCACAGTAAAATAAATTTAGACCTTTTACTTGTTCACAGCTGGTGTTAGAGCTGTGATTTAGCAAACATATTGTAAAAATCATTCCTTATTGGGTAGCAGATCAAGACCAGGTGAAATTTTTTTTCACATATAGAAGTCTGTAATGCTATGATTTTCAAACAAACCTAAACCTTTAAAATATTAGGTTTTGCCTTGGGAGAATTACCTGCTAAATTCCAGAGCTTATTATTTTTTCTCAGTTTCTCTTCTACTCCTCCTGCCTTGCTCAGATTCCTAAGTTTGTCACAATTAGAAGCTTTTTCTGCCATTTTTTAAAAGCTCATCAGTACTTCTTTGTAAAATAGGGTATAAAAGCTTGAATTTTTTTTTTAAATATGTGCAACAAGTTGGACAACTTTTATAGGAAGTGTACTGAATGAAGAAAGCAAAACCCAAAAGGCTATTTATTGCATGATGTCACTTATATAGCATTTTGAAATAGAAATCTTTTAGAAATGAAGAACAGTGGTTGCCATGTTGGAGATAAAGTGGGAGGGGTCAGGAAGGACTGACACCAGAGATCCTGTAAAAGCTTGAATCCTAACTCTGGATGTTGCAATGCATACCTTTTTCCTTGCTTTCCTAACCCTCACTCCTGGCTGGTGGGTCTCTCCTCCACTCAGGCCCTACTCAGAACACCTCGGCTTATAGCAGTGTTCTTTCACACTCTCCCTTGTGCCTGGGCCGTCTTCTGTAGGTAGGTGTACCCAGTGAGGGCTCTTTAGCCTAGTCATTCTAAAAGCCTGATTAGTCACTTTGGTTCATTCCTTGCATGAGCACTCCTTATGCCATTACTATGTGCCATGCATTGTATGGTCCCAGCTTTCTCCAAAAGATCACAGTTAGGCAGACGAGCAGTAAACATTACTCGTCTTTGCCTAGTATACATTGGATAGTGAGGGAATTCAGAGGAGCACCACTTACTTAGCATGGAAGCTTCCTGAAGAAGATGATATTTACACCATGCCTTGAATGAGGAGCTACATTAAATAGATAAAGGAGGACAGTGATGTTCTGGAGAAAACATATGGCAAGTAAGGTTGAATGACATGAGAGGGTTTGGCACATTTATTTTATTTTATTTTTTTAAATATTTATTTATTTAGTTAGTTAGTTTTCGGCGGACACAACATCTTTGTTTGTATGTGGTGCTGAGGATCGAACCCGGGCCGCACGCATGCCAGGCGAGCACGCTACCACTTGAGCCACATCCCCAGCCCCCGGATTTGGCACATTTAGAGTATTAAAAGTTAGTCATAGTTGCCCTCTGGGTGTTTATGTTGGTAGGAGGAGTGATGGCAGCCTCTTCCCCAAAAGTGCAGAGTACCTAAGCCCTCTCTTTTCATAGTTTTCTGCCTCTCATCCATCTCTTCTCTCTTTTTTTAAATATTGTTTTTTTTAGTTGTAGTTGGACACAATACCTTTATTTTATTCATTTATTTTTATGTGGTGCTGAGGATCGAACCTATCTCGCACGTGCTAGGCAAGCACTCTACCGCTAAGCCACATTCCCAGCCCCCATCTCTTCAAGTGTATTAAAGACCAGGGAATCTTAGGCTAGCTGTTTTTAAAGGCAAATATACCTTAGTAACTAACCACAGTAGCCTCCCTAGGTCACTTCCAGACAACTTTATTGGGTTGTCAGAGAGGTATTAAAAATTCTCATACAAACTGGGTGTGTGGTTCATGCCTGTAATTCCAGCAACTTGGGAGGCAGGCATGAGGAACGATAAGTTTGAGACCAACCTCAGCAACTTAGAGAAGCCCTAAGCAACTTAGGGAGACCTTATTTCAAACTTTAAAAAAGGGGGGGCTGGGAATATAGCTCAGTGCTGGGTTCAATCCCCAAACAACAATCCAAACACCCCCCAAAAAAGGAAGTTCCATATAAACTTTTATGTTAGTATTTTGTATTGTCAATATTTACCTAACTACGTATTATTTTTCTCAGATGGATTATATACTGACAGTTTCAAATATTGAAATACAGATTTTGCTAGAGGGCAGGATCTATCTTTAAATCGCTACACATTCTTTTATGGCCCTGGAGAGTTACAGAGTTGGTGTTATTTCAGCTATTAGGAAATTTTAATTTAAAAGAAAGAAAATTATTATTATCCTAACCCTAATAGCATGGTAATAAAAACCTAAATTCTTATGTTTTTCTATTTTGTGTGTTCATCTCTTCTTTTTCATTCTTAAAAAATTTTTTAACTCAAGTTTTTCTGTTCTATATTTTATTGGCTGTATGTTACTTTCTGCCCTTTGGTGTCTTCATGCAAGCATGAGAGGGCATAGTTTAGATCCTCTAACTTCATATGCTGTAGTTATAAGACTATATCCATGTTTTATTTGCAGTTATGCCTTCCATTCCATGTTCCAGACTGGCCCTGATAGGGAAGATCTTTCATCCCCAGCAACTCATGCACTCTTTTGTTCATGCTGCCTTGGGAATGGTGATGGCTTGGTGTGCAGCAGTGATAACTAAGGGCCGATACAGTTTTCTTGTGGTTCCCTGCTCTGATACTGAGAGGTAATGTTAAATACTTTTTCTTTCTAGGGATCCTTGTTTAGTTACTAAGCCAAAGATGGCCTAGGTATGTTAATAGTTTATGGACATTCTTTGCTTTCCCAATTTCTACAGAAAGTGCTTATTTACATACAGTTGTTTTTGATGTTTGACTTTGAATTCAACAAAATTTGAAAAACAGTTGTAGAAGGTGCTATACTGTGTGCTGTTAGATTTGTGAGAATGATTCAAACAGCTCCCTGAGGATCGAGAACAGTAGGGAATTGAAGACATGGAAACATATGAATGTAATAGGAAGAAGGACATAAGTTGTGCACATAAAATCTGTGAGAGTTCAGGAAGCTGGGAGGATCTACATATGTTCTTGGAGAAGGTGTTTGGTGTTTGAAGGAAGGGTAGTTTGGAAAGAATGAATTTGAAGAGAGAATTTTAAAATAATAACTACCTTCTATAGAGTGCTTTTATGATTTTAAAACTTACACAGTCTTGAAATATGGGATTGATAGAAATTGTAAGTTGATGCTCTGACTTTCAGAATTAAAAAAGGTCTGTGGGTGTAGCTCAGTTATAGAGCATATGCTTAGCAGGTCAAGACCATGAGTTCGATCCCCAGCACCATACACACACATTAAAAAGTATAAATAAAGAAAGATTATATTAGAATAATCTTAAGTTCCCTATTTTCCACTGACTTTAAAACAATGTTAATAATGAGTTCTGCCTAATACTTAATTTCCTTGGCTACTGCTTATGAGGCCGAGTTGCTTTTTTTCCCCTCCAATAGAGGCTTTCTGTAGTGAAAATTATACTGTTGATAAACATTGAATGATAAAGGACATCTATGAATACAGTACTATTGTGACTAAGGAAATCCCCATGGCTCATTTTAAATGAGTCCTGAACTCTTTTTTGCATCTTTTTAGTGGAGGGGGCAGTGAGGTTCCAGGGAGCAGAAAGCTACAATGAGCTACAAGTTGTTAGAGAGATTAGTGCCCATTATAAATACATTTACTGATAATTTCACAGTCAGAGTCTTGAGCAAAATGAATCTTTTTTATCATCTTATAACTCAGGGCCCAGAAAACAATCAGCCTGGAATCTCAACCCTCATGGAGATAGGTGGTGGAGCAGGCCCCTAATTGGTATTCCTGCTGACTCTATACACCCTCAGATATTTGCCAAATTATAGAGATGCTCAGACAACTTCCAAAGGAGTTTAAAAGCTTAATGTTCACCAAATAATAAGATCTTATCCTTAAAATTAAAAGATGTGAGATAAAGATGATAGGTTGATAGGGTGTGGCTAATGGAAGTTCTTACCAGGGAATCCTCTTGAATTTAACTAAATTTTCAGAACTTAACAACTCTAGGTTATTAGCTGGGAAGCATTGGGACCTCCTCTTTAGCAGGAGTACTGATGCATTTCAAACAGGTGATGGGTCCCACAGCCATTCAGGAGCTGTTGCCTTACCTGTGGTACAACTCGAGAGTGGAGATATATCAGACAGGTATTGGGGACTCCCTGTTTTAAAAGCCTTGTGCCCAATGGGCTCTGGTATCTCTTGTATCAATTTTATAGATGTAGCATCCAGAATCCCTGGAGGTGGATTTTTAGTCAGAGACAACACAGAAGACCAAAGTTTTGGCATCTCTTTCAGGCAGTTGATTTATAGTTGATTTGATTCCTCTCAGTGAAGATTAATTTACCAGTTTGTAAGCAATGTTACTTAGTACCGATGTAGACGTTCTTACCCATGTCAGATTTCTAGGGGAATAGAGCTAGAGTCAGGTTCTCAGGCTTCAGGGAAAAGGGTTTTGTTAATCTTTTGCTCACACTTATTTTAAAATGAACCATTTTGTTAGAGAATTTTGCCTTCAGTAAGTATTAAGCCTAAAACAGTGAAATGTATCCCTGACTGTTGTATTAACAACTTAATTTTTCCCTTCTAGTTTAGATAGCTCTGCAGCACGAAACTGTTTAAATGAATATCACCTTTTTTTCCTACTGGCTGGAGCATTCATGGGCTATAGCTATAGCCTTCTGTATTTTGTTAACAACATGAACTATCTCCCATTTCCCATCATACAGGTAAGACATCATCTGAGCATTATCTTATGCTAGAATGTGGCAGCATTAAAACTGCTTTGGTGTATTTGTATATAACGGGGCTTATTTGATTAATTCAAGATTTGTTCTATGCAACAGAGAACTGAAATTCTCAAATGCCTTTTAGAGAGAAGAGTTTTGGCTTTAGGTGACTTCGGTGTGTTTTTGAGAGCTGTATTGTGTGTAGAATATACATCCAGCTATATTTTACCCTTCCCTGCTGCCACTCTCAGACTGCTGCTGCTCTGCTCTTCTCTTTCCCTGCCTGCTTGGTACTTATACTTGCTGTGACCTTAGCAGGACTGGGGGTGGGGGTGGGGAGGATGATGATGACATTCATGCAAAGTACCTCTGTGCAGCTGCCAGCTTCTTTTCGAACTTAAAAATCTTATGAAGGTGGGGGTGTGCAAGTAATTTTTAGAATATGTCAGTTACTGTCTCATGTCCTTTTCATAAAAAAGCAAGATATATACAAATAAATAAAATAGTTTGACCTGGTTTGATTTGAGTGGTATAGTATTTTTGGTATCAATACTAGGGATTGAACCCAGGGGCTCTACAACTGAGATATATCCTAGCACACACACCCCGCCTTTTTTTTTTTTTTTTTTTTTTGAGAGAGAGAGAGATAGTGTCTAAGTTGCTGAAGCTGGCCTTAAAGACTTGCAGTTCTCCTGCCTCAGCATCTTGAGTTCCTGGGATTACTGGTGTGCATCACCATGCCCAGCTTTAGTTAGGTTTATAAAAACCTAATCTGGTAGGTGTCATCCTGGAATTTAGAACCACCTCCTCTGGGTTGAAGTGTCTCACTGTTACATCAGGCCTCTCCCTGTCCTGTTTCTGCTATTCCTGATTAGCTGTTCATTTCATTTCTACTCTGAAGCCTGGGCACTGAAAGAAAAATGTTAGAACCCTAGGTCCTTCCCACTGGAACCTAGTCTAGTGGGAATAAAGGGATGCATAAACAAATGATGCATGATAATAAATGTGATCTATGAAAATGATGCATTAGGATTCTCCTAGGTTAACTAAAGTTGTCATATGCTGTTGAGAGCCACAGCCGAAAGGGGCTGCCAGCTGATGATTGGCTCACAGCGGCCCCAGCAAACTTCTAGCTGCCAACTGATTGGCTCCTCTGCGGTGATGCTCATTGGGCTGTTTCCCTGCCCTTTCAGACCCCGGAGCTGCTCATTGGGGGACTTTTTTTGGCTCCGCCCACGAGACCCAGCTAATCGACCTCAAGAGCAGGAGTGGGGGAGGCGGAGAGGCTTGTGGGAAGCTGGTGGTGGCAGTTGGGCTCTGAGGGTTTTTCCTGAGGAGCTGTGTGGTGTGGTGTGTGTGTTTTAAAAATAAAGTTCATTTCTTTTGACAAGTGGCTCCTGAATTGTGCCCAGCCAGACTGCGGCACAGGGAACGACTGTGAGGGTAAGTGATAAGGTAAACTCCTCTCCCCTGAGGGCAGGGCGAGAGGATGGATAGCCATTTTAAGATTCTTCTTTTGTTTTGTTTTGCTTTTAAGTTGCCTGTTTTAAGTTGCCTGTCCCTGGAGATGAGTGAGATGGAAGAAAAACCCGCTCACATCTGAGGAAAAACTATTTGCGTCTGAGGAACAGATAGGGAGAAAGGACGGATGGACATTTCAGGAGGATAGAAAGGCTGATATAATGATTTTGTGTTGTTTCATTCTGTCTCGGCTTTGTTTGGCGTCATCTTGTTGGGTTGTATTGTAGTAGAAATATGGGATCAGAAATTAGTAAAAAACAAACCGAAAGAGTGTTAAGTATATTGTTAGAGGAAGGAGGCATCCCAGTAAAATCAAGAGCAGTCAGGGCATACATTGATACAATACAAAAATGTAGCCCATGGCTTTTTAAGGAGGAGTTGTTAAATATATCACAATGGAACCATCATGGTGAAGATTTAAAAAGAATAGAAAAGAAAAACCCAGGGACTCTGCCAGTTGGCACATTGCCATTGTGGACGTTCGTATCTTGTTTGCTTAGTCCAAAGCCTTCAGTTCAGACAATGGTAGAGGAAGGAGAAGACATATTGATTCAAGTAAAAGAGAAGGTCTCTCAAGTTAGTCAGACAGAGGAAAAGATTCAAGTAAAAGAGAAGGTCTCTCGAGCTAGTCAGACAGAGGAAGAAAGTTTAGAGCAGAAAAAGCCATCAGGGGAAAAGTTACAACAGGAGACTGCTACTAACACCTTTCTATCACCAGAGGGTGTAAGTGTCCAACCAACAGCGCCACCTCTACAGGAGACTGCTACTAACACCTTTCTATCACCAGAGGGCGTAAGTGTCCAACCAACAGCGCCACCTCCATATGCTGGGAGGCTCCCAACCCCCGCAGTTGATAGTTGGGATCCTGAGACAGGATCTCAAATATTAACATGCCCTGTATCTGAGCAGGCAGGAGGGCAGTGAATTCACCATGCTTTAAATTTCAAAAAAGTGAAGCAGCTAAAAGAGGCTGTAACAACCTATGGTCCTCAAGCACCCTTCACTGTAAGCATGGTTGAATCCATTACCAACTTGAACGTGACGCCAGCAGATTGGGCTAATATGTGTAAAGTTGTGCTGAATGGAGGACAATACCTGTTATGGAAGGTTGCCAATGAGGAATTTTGCAAGGAGTTGGCTAGGCGAAATGCAGCAGCTGGAAGTTTGCTGGGGCCCCTTTCGGCTGTGGCTCTCAACAACATGCCTGTTGCATCTGTGAGAATATGTACTGCAAGGAGATAGTACTCCCTGAAAAAAATTTGGCTCTTACCTGCTGCAGTCTGAGTGTTTGAAAAAATAATTCCTGTTTAGAAATTCTTCACATCTTGTGAAGAAGAATTGAAAGTAGGACATAAGCTTTGCTACCTCAAAATTTCACAACAAAAAATTTTCAAAATACTGTGCAGAAATATTCATGTAAATCAACTTAGATCCAAATATAATAAAGAATAATAATAGCTGGATGGGTGGCACACACTTATAATCCCAGCAGCCAGAAAGCTGAGGCAGGAGGATCACAAACTCAAAGTTGGCTTCAGCAACTTAGTGAGGCCCTAAGCAATTTAGTGAGACCCTGTCTCAGAATAAAAAATAAAAAGGGCTGGGGATGTAGCTCAGTGGTTGAGTGCTTCTGGGTTCAATCCTAGGTACCAATAAACAAATAAAGAATAGTGAACAAGGAAAACAAAGTCTTAAGAGAAAAATAAGATGCCACAGAATATCTTTCTGGATTTCCATGGACCTCAGTTGAAATTTCCCACCTATTTAACATCACAGATGGGCAATAGAGTAAACATAGGAGTTGTCCAGTAGTTGATAATGCTTACAAATTGCTGAATTATGTTTCTACCATGTCAAGTTCATAAAATTTAACTTTTTTTGGTAATTGGTTTGGGTAAAATTTTGTATTGTATCTCAGAAGTTTATTCCATGATAGCAACGTTCAGCTTTGGCCAGAATATTGATTTTTAACAGTTGGCCAAATATGTATTGGGGGCATCTCTTAGAGCCATGAATGTGCAGTGGTATTGGTCTGCCCAGCTGGTTGCCATTCTCCAGCCCACGGATGTTTGGAGTGGGGGTTTTTTAGGGCCCTTCATTGAAAAGATGTGGAATAAGGGAAGGAGGATTTGACAGTAGTTGAAAGGATGCACAGGACCTTTGTTTCTCATCAGTCAGGTTTGTGTCTTTGCGTAGCAGGGAAGGTTTGCCTCCCAAAAAGAAAGGGGGAGGGAGGACACCATAGCTTAGCTTTCTTTCATTGTAGGAACATTGTGCCTGCATGAGACCTTCCCTTGTGCATTTAAGTTGCTGAGGGAAGCAGGATGGATTGTTAGGAAATTCCAAGCTAGATATGAGGTGTCAGGCCCATTGCCCTTGGAGGCTTCCAGGGAACAATGTGATATAACCATGTACTTTCTTTTTTTTTTTTTAGCCAACCAGTTTGTAACTATGTACTTTCTTTAAAAGAGAGAGAGAGAGAGAGAGAGAGAGAGAGAGAGAGAGAGAGAATTTTTTAGTATTTATTTTTTAGTTTTTGGTGGACACAATATCTTTATTTTATTTTTATGTGGTGCTGAGGATCGAACCCAGTTCCCCGCGCATGCCAGGCGAGCGCGCTACCGCTTGAGCCATATCCCCGGCCCCAAACCATGTACTTTTATTTGATCAGCCAAGCTAACCAGAAAACATTTGACCCTTAGAATTTTTTCTTCTATAATTAATAATAATCATTGTTGTCAACAACCATTGTCAACATCATTATTTTCAGAATTGTTATTTCAGGAAAAAAAATGATTTTTTTTCTAGTACGTTCATCTCCTGAGGTAGGTAGTGTTGTCTTCGCTGCCTCTACTTTTCCGCCACTTAGTGTAAAGGCAGTGTGCATTGTCTTTAAGATTGTGGGCTCTGAAACCAGCTTGCCTGGATTCATATATTGGATTTTCCTTTTGCTAACTGGTAATGTTGGTGAAGTCATCTAACCTCTCTCTGCCTTGGTTTCTTCATCTGTAAGATGACAATAATAATAGAGCCTCATTGGGTTGTTGTGAAGTTTAAACAGATTAATCCATGTAATTTGTACCAGTTCTTGACATGGTAACATGCAAAGAATGCCGGTTGCTATTGTTACTATAGGCCTCCCTTATCCACAGTTTGGTTTTCGTCAGGTTTGCTTACTAGCAATCAACTACAATCTGAAAATATTAAGTGGAAAATTCTAGGAATAAGCAATTTATAACTTAAATTATTACAATATATTATTATAATTGTTCTATTTGTTGTTGGTTATTATTTTTAATCTCTTGCTGTATCTGATTTATCATATTACTAATCTTAGGTATGTATGCATAGAAATAAACAGTATGTATAGGGTACTTTCTGCATTCACTAGTGGTCTTGAAATGTATCCCCCAGAGCTACGGTGGAGCTATGTTTTTTATACTTTCTCCATCTCTATAGGCCTTACTAACAAGTATGGATTGATATTGTTAATTTTCTTATTTCTGATCTCCCTATTAGTGAGATGGTTGTATAATGTAGAAATATTAAATATTTTAGCATCAGAAGTAATTCAGTTTTGCCTCTGGGATAATCTTTGACTTTTTGAACAGTGGTTATGGTTTATGTGTTGAGGCTATAAAGAACTTGCTGTAGAATGTGGTGGAATGTATTGTTGATTCTTTTCTTTTTTTCACAGCAATACAAGTTCTTGCGGTTTAGGAGATCTCTACTCTTACTCATTAAGCATAGTTGTGTGGAATCACTGTTCCTGGTTAGAAATTTCTGCATTGTGTATTATTTTCTTGGTAAGAATTCTATTTTTTAATGCAGGGTATTATTAACTCAAAGCTCAGAAAATGTCAATTAGAAAGTCATTCTTTATTGTGTTTCTATGTTTCCTAGTTATGGATATGTGATTAGCCCCACCTGATTTGTAGTTTATATTGTTAGAGTATTTATTTAGTTAAGGGAAAATATTGTTAAAGAAAATGTGATATATACATATAATGAAATATTATTTAGCTTTAAAGAAGAAACTCTTATCCTGTAGATAAACCTTAAGGTCATAATGTTAACCGAAGTGACCCAGTCACAAAAAGACAAAATATTGCATGATTTTATTTATATGAGGTACCTAAAGTAGCTATGCTTTTAAAAACCCAGAATAGAATGCCAGGAACTGAGAGCAGGAAGATGGGGAGGAGTTGTTCATCGTGCAGAGGGTCCCAGTTATGCTTAATGGGAAAGTTCTGGAGGTCTGCTGCACAAAAAAGAACATTGTGTGGGGGCTGGGGTTGTGGCTCAGCGGTAGAGCGCTTGCCTAGCACATGTGAGGTCCTGGGTTCGATCCTCAGCACCATGTAAAAATAAATAAATAAAAACAAAGTTATTGTGTCCAACTACAATTGAAAAATAAATATATATATATATTTTTAAAAAAAGAACATTGTCATTTGGTCATTTTCTAGAAATAACATACTTCTTTTTATAAGTTTGTAAGTTGATAATAATATAATAGAAATATTCTGTTGGTAAGGAAACCTTGTAGAATTTATTAACATGAATTTTAGGTACAGAAATTACAACTCAATATTTAGCATAGTGAATAGTACAAGTTCAAAACATTAATCTCATCAGTAACACAATAATATAAACAATATCTAGTGTTCAAAACTACTCTTCAGATCTTTTTCAGATTTTTTTTTTCTATAAATATAACTTTATGAAATTGTTCTCACTCTTTATTCACCACTTGTAGTTTATATAATCCTTTTTCCATGTAGCTTTTAAATTTGTCATTCTGATGTTAACACTGTATTGAAATTTCTTAACCTACTGTGATTGGCTTGGCTCTTGCCCGAGAACTGTACGTACATTTGGGCTGATACAGCAGTTGCATCAGTATCCCCATGGTCAGCTCTTTCTCCTGTAACTCTTTTGCATTCATTTTACATTTCATTTTAGCATTGTCATTTCTTTTTGCTGCTCTTTGATCTTTTTTGTCCAGCGTCCTCTTTCATTTGTTATTTTATTTATTTATTTTGTGGTACTGGTTGTTCAACTCAGGGGTACCCTACCACTGAGCTACATTCCCAGTCCTTTTCAGTTTTTATTTTGAGATAAGGTTTTGCTAGGTTTCTGGCCTCCAACTTGTGATTCTTCTGCCTCACTCCCTGAGTTGCTGGGATTATAGGTGTGCGCCACTACACCTGGCTTCATTTACTTGTTTTTTAATGTTGTCATAGGAGGCAAGGAGACAGCACAACTACATGCTTTGTTGTTTTTGTCTAAAAAAATGCAAGTGGCCAGTCACCAATAGACTTTGATTCGACAGGATTGGTCACAGATCATGGTGTACATTTGTTATCTACATATTGATTCATATACTGAAAAGCTAGAAGTGCTGTACATAATCACCCATAATTAATATACCACGGTAACTGAAATTTGAATGGTTGTTGGGTGTTAAGCAACAGTGTAAAAATTGGTGTTTTTGCTGGGTGCAGTGGTGTACGCCTATAATCCCAGAAGCTCCGGAGTCTGAGGCAGGAGGATTCTGAGTTAAAAGCCAGCTTCAGCAATTCAGCAAGGCCCTAAGTAACTTTGTGAGACCCTGTCTCAAAAATAAAATATAAATAAGATTTGAGATGTGACTCAGTTGTTAAGGGCCCCTGGGTTTAATCCCTAGTACAAAACAAAAAAACAAAACCCCCCAAAACCAAAAAAACCTGGTGTTTTTTTAGTGAAACCATGGTAACTAAAATATGTATGTATGTCAGAATATACAAAGCAAGGACTGTCTGTATCTAGAAATTTTTTTGCTTTCCTATCCATTCCTAATCAAATAATTTAGCATTTTGATTGAGGTCTTGCTGTCTTTGACCTCATAGTCTAAAGCATGATTAAGATTTGTTTTATTAACTTTTTATATTCATAGCTTGGTATTTTCTCTCCTCAGGTCATATTCCCAAAGCTTGGATTAGCACTGCTATGGACCTTCTCATAGATGAGTAAGTGATACTTAAAAAGTCTAATCTTAACTTTACTTTCCAGATGCTTTGTTTAGATTAAGCCTATAAATCTTTTTTTTTTTTTTTTTAAAGAATTGAAATAAAAAACAAAACTAGAGATGGAGGGAATCAGTGTTACAAGAGGGTGCCTATCCTTCCCCTGTCCTGTCTCTGGACTGGGAAACCTGTGTGGTAGCTACTACTCCTCAACTGTTTGTGGGATCTAGCCGAAGCTGAGCTTATTCTAAACTATCGTTCAACCCACTCTGTGATGTACTTCCTCTATCATATTTAACACCTGGATATTGAATGCTGAATACAGTTGGGTTCATCTGCTTTAACTATGTCTTTCTAGTAGTTCTAGAAGGTGGTACTTTCAAAATTTATTTGAAAATTTAAACCATTAAAAGTTTTTCTGAGAGGAAAAATCATTGTATATATTTTTTGAATACACAATATTTCCATAGCTTAAAATTCTAGAAGGTAAATAAGTCAGGCATGGTGGTGCACATCTATAATCCCAGGGACTTGAGAGGCTAAGACAGGAGGATCACAAGTTTGAGGCCAGTCTCAGCAATTAAGTGAGGCCCTAAGCAACCCTGTCTCAAAATAAAAAAGGGGCCTCGGAGGTAGCTTAGTTGTAAAGTGCCCCTGGGTTCAACCCCCAGTACCAAGAAAGGAAAAAAAAAATCTAGAAGATCTATAAAAGAGTTAACAGTGAAAAAGACTCCTTCTGCTCCTGTTTCCAGTCACCCAATTCCTCTTCCCAGAAGCAAGCCGTGGGAAACTATTTTCATTTTTTGGCAGGTAACTTATACTAAATAAATTTTTGAGTTGCATGGACCATTCCCTCTCTGATTTTTCTCTTCAACAGTCATTATTCTATGGTATTTTGTACATACCAGTGCTGTGGTCTCACGCTTATGTCACCTGTGAGGCAATCAAAATTGAGCAAGGTGATAATCAGCTGGCAGCACTGGGGTGTATTGTTTCACTTATTCCCAGATGTTTTGCATCTAGATAAAGGTTTAATCTAGATTTGCTGATAAATGTGCTTCCCTAAGAGTTTGATCTTTCAGTTATTGTTTATTTCCCTGGGAGAGTTTTTTATGTCATATATGGGATAAGCTAATGTCAGTTTTAGGGAGTTGGGTATATTGACATGGATATTTAAGAAATATTAGTTAGTAAGTCTGTAGACATACTACCCCCGGTGCTGGGATTGAACCCAGGGGTGCTCTACCACAGAGATACATCCCCAGCCCTTTGTTTTTTTAAACAAAATTAAAAATATATATATTTTCCTTAGTTATAGTTAGACATTTATTTATTTATTTTTATGCTGAGGATCGAACCCAGTGCCTTGCGTGTGCTAGACAAGTGCTCTACCACTGAGCCACAACCCCAGGCCCATCCCCAGTCCTTTTTATTTTTTATTTTGAAAAAGGGTTTCACTAAATTGTCATGGCTGGCCTTGAACCTGCAATCTTTCTGCCACAGCCTCTTGAATAGCTAGAGTTACAGACATGTGCCATCATGCCTGAATAACCTAAATTTTAAAACTGGGTCAAATGAAAGATAAAAATAATATTTTATTATTTATAAATAATAATTCCTTTTGTCCTTTCACTCAAAAAATGTTTTGTTTGTGTGGCCTAGTGCCTGGCCTTATATCTGTCCTTCGGGTATGTCAGACTCTTGGTAAATGTTTACTTAGAAGTTAAACCTCCATCATTTATTGTTGGCCCCAGTACATGTCAAGCACTGTGTTGGGCACTCCTCATGTAAACTGTTTTCAATCTTGTACTAGTCCTAGGAGGTAAAATGAAGAGACTATGCTGTGACATGGACGAGGGAAATGAGTAGGATAGGTGGGTGATTTGCCTAGTCACAACATTATAAATTGCAGAAAGAGATTCAAATCCTGGTTTTCATAATTGACACTTGTGTGGTTAAAGTATTATGATTTGCTAATTGATTGATTCAAGGTTTTGATAAGATGTCAACTTTTAGTTTTATGTAGCTTTTTTTTTGTTTGTTTGTTTGTTTGTTTGTTTTGGGGTACCGGGAATTGAAATAAGGGGCACTCATTCACCAAGCCACATCCCCAGCCCTATTTTGTATTTTATTTAGAGACAGGGTCTCACTGAGTTGCCTGGGGCCTCATTTTTGCTGAGGCTGACTTTTTTTTTTTTTTTAAATTTTTTTAATATTTTATTTTTAGTTTTGGGCAGACACAACATCTTCGTTTGTATGTGGTGCGGAGGATTGAACCCGGGCCGCATGCATGCCAGGCGAGCGCGCTACCTCTTGAGCCACATCCCCAGTCCCCTGAGGCTGACTTTTAACTCGCAATCCTCCTGCCTCAGCCTCAGGAGCCACTGGGATTACAGTTGTGCACCACCTCACCTGGCTATTTAACATTCTAACAGATTTTCTTAAATTGCTTAAAAAATAAAGAACAAGTTTTAGTAGCATGTGCTTTTCTTTCTTTTTTTTTTTCTTTTAAAGTTTTTTTTTAGTTGTAGGTGGACACAGTACCTTTATTTTATTTTTATGTGGTGCTGACGATCAAACCCAGTGCCTTACTTATGCTAGGTAAGTGCTCTACCACTGAGCCACAACCCCAGCTCCCAGGAGCATGCATGTGTTTTAACTTCTGAGGAACTGTTTATAGGGTATACAGATCAAGCTGAAATCTAGTCCAGGAGAGATCCTAGTCATGCTTAATAGTTTTTAAATATTAAACTACAAAGTAACAATAGCAAACTTTGACCCAGACTAGGTAATTAAGCTTACAGGCTTGTCTTGTTTTCTCCTCTACAGTAAATGATAGTGAAGACTTGGAACACAAGGAACCATAGGGCCAGTTTAGGCCTACACTTCCCCCAAGGTTCCCTTATGTGTCTCCTAAAGAAGGTATTAGGGAAAGACCTCTTGAAGGGTAAAAGGGTAGAGGACTCTTAGCATTCTTATTTAGAAATAGGTTTGTCTTTCATTGTGGAGTCCCAAATCTGTTAAATGTTTAGATTGTATCTTCCCATGGGATTAAATGGTACGTTTGCTTTTCCTAGGCAGTTTCATAGGCCCCTTGACACCATAAGTGGCCTCTTGAGCCTCCCGTTACTCTATCATATCTGGCTGTGCGGTGTCTTCCTCCTGACGACTTGGTACATCTCATGGATACTATTCAAAATCTATGCTACAGAGGTTAGTATTGAGTTTTTTGTTAATACTAGTGTATTAACAAAATTTTGAAAATGCAAGTGGATTTTTAGTAGAGCAATGATCAGCATGTATGCCCAAAGCAATTTCAGTTTTGAAACTTTATTCATTTGGTTTTGAAACTTTATTAGGGGCAAATTATTTATAACCATCATTTATTTTGCGTTTTTTTTTTTCCTGAGGAATTAGTATTGGTATTCACTTAACTTTTAGAAATTAAACTGAATGGTACTTAGTGTACTTTATTTATAGTCTTGTTCTCTTCTGCATGCTTCCATTTTAGTATTAAGTGCATATTAAAGGGGCCTGACTTTTAAATTAATTTTATTTTATTTATTTTTTATTGGTTGTTCAAAACATTACAAAGCTCTTGACATATCATATTTCATACATTTGATTCAAGTGGGTTATGAACTCCCATTTTTACCCCGTATACAGACTGCAGAATCACATCGGTTACACATCCACGTTTTTACATATTGCCATACTAGTGACTGTTGTATTTTGCTATCTTTCCTATCCTCTACTATCCCCGCTCCCCTCCCCTCCCATCTTCTCTCTCTACCCCATCTACTGTAATTCATTTCTCTCCCTTGTTTTTTTTCCCTTTCCCCTCACATCCTCTTATATGTAATTTTGTGTAACAATGAGGGTCTCCTTCCATTTCCATGCAATTTCCCTTCTCTCTCCCTTTCCCTCCCACCTCTCGTCCCTGTTTAATGTTAATCTTTTTCTCATGCTCTTCTTCCCTGCTCTGTTTTTAGTTGCTCTCCTTATATCAAAGAAGACATTTGGCATTTGTTTTTTAGGGATTGGCTAGCTTCACTTAGCATAATCTGCTCTAATGCCATCTATTTCCCTGCAGATTCCATGATTTTGTCATTTTTTAGTGCTGAGCAATACTCCATTGTGTATAAATGCCACATTTTTTTAATCCATTCATCTATTGAAGGGCATCTAAGTTGGTTCCACAGTCTAGCTTTTGTGAATTGTGCTGCTATGAACATCGATGTAGCAGTGTCTCTATAGTATGCTCTTTTAAGGTCTTCAGGGAATAGTCCGAGAAGGGCAATAACTGGGTCAAATGGTGGTTCCATTCCTAGCATTCCCAGGAATCTCCATACTGCTTTCCAAATTGGCCGCACCAATTTACAGTCCCACCAGCAATGTACAAGTGTGCCCTTTTCCCCACATCCTCGCCAGCACTTGTTGTTGTTTGACTTCATAATGGCTGCCAATCTTACTGGAGTGAGATGGTATCTTAGGGTGGTTTTGATTTGCATTTCTCTGACTGCTAGAAATGGTGAGCATTTTTTCATGTACTTGTTGATTGATTGTATATCCTCCTCTGAGAAGTGTCTGTTCAGGTCCTTGGCCCATTTGTTGATTGGGTTATTTGTTTTCTTATTGCTTATTTTTTGAGTTCTTTGTATACTCTGGATATTAGGGCTCTCTCTGAAGTGTGAGGAGTAAAGATTTGTTTCCAGGATGTAGGCTCCCTATTTACCTCTCTTATTGTTTCTCTTGCTGAGAAAAAACTTTTTAGTTTGAGTAAGTCCCATTTGTTGATTCTTGTTTTTAACTCTTGTGCTATGGGTGTCCTATTAAAGAATTTGGAGCCCAACCCCACAATATGTAGATCGGAGCCAGCTTTTTCTTCTATCAGACGCAGAGTCTCTGATTTGATATCAAGCTCCTTGATCCATTTTGAGTTAACTTTTGTGCATGGTGAGAGAAAGGGATTCAGTTTCATTTTGTTGCATATGGATTTCCAGTTTTCCCAGCACTATTTGTTGAAGATGCTGTCCTTCCTCCATTGCATGCTTTTAGCCCCTTTATCGAATATAAGATAGTTGTAATTTTGTGGATTGGTTTCTGTGTCCTCTATTCTGTACCATTGGTCCACCTGCCTGTTTTGGTACCAGTACCATGCTGTTTTTGTTACTATTGCTCTGTAGTACAGTTTAAAATCTGGTATTGCTATACCTCCTGATTCACACTTCCTGCTTAGAATTGCTTTTGCTATTCTGGGTCTTTTATTTTTCCATATGAATTTCATGATTGCTTTATCTATTTCTACAAGAAATGCCGTTGGGATTTTGATTGGCATTGCATTGAACCTATAGAGAACTTTTGGTAGTATCGCCATTTTGATGATGTTAGTTCTGCGTATCCATGACAAGGTATATTTTTCCATCTTCTAAGATCTTCTTCTATTTCTCTCTTTAGGGTTCTGTAGTTTTCATTGTATAAATCTTTCACCTCTTTTGTTAGGTTGATTCCCAAGTATTTTATTTTTTTGTGGGGTGGTTTTCCTCATTTCCAGTTCAGAAGATTTGTCGCTGATATACAGGAATGCCTTTGATTTATGCGTGTTGGTTTTATATCCTGCTACTTTGCTGAATTCATTTATTAGCTCTAGTAGTTTCTTTGTAGACCCCTTTTGTGTCTTCTAGGTATAGGTTCATATCATCCGCAAATAGTGATAATTTAAGTTCTTCTTTTCCTATTTTTATGCCTTTAATTTCTTTTGTCTGTCTAATTGCTCTGGCCAGTATTTCGAGAACTATATTGAATAGAAGTGGTGAGAGAGGGCATCCCTGTCTTGTTCCAGATTTTAGAGGGAATGCCTTCAGTTTTTCTCCATTTAGAATGATGCTAGCCTGAGGCTTAGCATATATAGCTTTTACAATGTTGAGGTAAGTTCCTGTTACCCCTAGTTTTTCTAGTGTTTTGAACATAAAGGGATGCTGTACTTTGTTGAATGCTTTTTCTGCCTCTATCGAGATGATCATATGGTTCTTATCTTTAAGTCTATTGATATGGTGAATAACGTTTATTGATTTCCATATATTGAACCAGCCTTGCATCCCAGGGATGAATCCTACTTGATCATGGTTCACGATCTTTTTGATATGTTTTTGTATCCTATTTGCCAGAATTTTATTGAGGATTTTTGCATCTAAATTCATTAGGGATATTGGTCTGTAGTTTTCTTTCTTTGAGGTGTCTTTATCTGGTTTGGGAATCAGAGTGATATTGGCCTCATAGAATGAATTTGGAAGTTCTCCCTCTTTTTCTATCTCCTGAAATAGATTGTGGAGTATTGGTATTAGTTCTTCTTTAAAGTTCTTGTAAAACTCTGCTGTATATCCATCCGGTCCTGGGCTTTTCTTGGTTGGTAGTCTTTTGATTGCTTCTTCTATTTCCTCACTTGATATTGGTCTGTTTAGGTTGTTTATAGCATCCTGACTCAATCTGAGTAGTTCATATGTCTTAAGGAATTTATCGATGCCTTCACTATCTTCTATTTTATTAGAGTATTGGGTTTCAAAATAATTTCTAATTATCTTCTGTATTTCTGAATTGTCTGTTGTGATGTTGCCTTTTTCATCCCGTAAGCTAGTAATTTGGGTTCTCTCTCTTCTTCTCTTTCTTAGCGTGGCTAGTGGTCTATCAGTCTTATTTATTTTTTCAAAGAACCAACTTTTAGTTTTGTCAATTTTTTCGATTTTTTTCTTTTGTTTCGATTTCATTGATTTCAACTCTAATTTTAATTATTTCTTGCTTGTATTTGCTGCTGATTTGTTCTTCTTTTTCTAAGGCTTCGAGGTGTAGTGTGAGGTCATTTATTTGTTGGCTTTTCCTTCTTTTAAGGAATGAACTCCATGAAATGAATTTTCCTCTTAGTACTGCTTTCATAGTGTCCCAGAGATTTCGATATGTTGTGTCTGAGTTTTCATTTACCTCTAAGAATTTTTTAATTTCCTCTTTGATGTCTTCTGTAACCCTTTGTTCATTCTGTAGCATATTGTTTAATCTCCATGTGATGTAGGCTTTTTCCTTTCTCATTTTATTATTGATTTCCAAATTCATTCCATTATGATCAGATAAAATGCATGATAGTATCTCTACTACTTTGTAATTGCTAAGATTTGCCCTGTGACATAATATATGGTCTATTTTTGAGAAGGATCCATGTGCTGCTGAGAAGAAAGTGTATCTGCTTGATGTTGGGTGGTATATTCTGTATATATCAATTAAGTCTAAATTATTAATTGTATTATTGAGCTCTATGGTTTCTTTATTCAACTTTTGTTTGGAAGATCTTTCCAGTGGTGAGAGAGGTGTGTTAAAATCTCCCATGATTATTGTGTTGTGGTCTATTTGACTCTTGATCTTGAGAAGAGTTTGTTTGATGAACGTAGCTGCACCATTGTTTGGGGCATATATATTAATGATCGTCAAGTCTTGTTGGTGTATGGTTCCCTTGAGCAGTATGTAGTGTCCTTGTTTATCCCTTTTGATTAACTTTGGCTTGAAGTCTATTTTATTTGATACAAGTATGGACACCCCTGCTTGCTTCCGGGGTCCGTATGAGTGATATGATTTTTCCCAACCTTTCACCTTCAGTCTGTGTATGTCTTTTCCTATCAGATGAGTCTCCTGTAGGCAGCATATTGTTGGATCTTTTTTTTTAATCCATTCTACTAGCCTATGTCTTTTGATTGGTGCATTTAAGCCATTAACATTTAGGGAAGAGCTGGCTTTCTAAAGCTGCAAATTCTTTTAACTTTTGTTTATCGTGGAAGATTTTTATTTCATCTTCAATCTTGAAGCTTAATTTCGCTGGATACATGATTCTTGGTTGGAACCCTTTTTCTTTCAGCGTTTGAAATATTTTGTTCCAGGATCTTCTAGCTTTCAGAGTCTGTGTTGAAAGATCAGCAGTTATCCTGATTGGTTTACCCCTAAATGTAATCTGCTTCCTCTGTCTTGTGGCTTTTAAGATTCTCTCCTTATTCTGTATGTTGGGCATCTTCATTATTATGTGTCTTGGTGTGGATCTCTTATGATTTTGTACATTTGGTGTCCTGTAGGCTTCTAGTATTTGGATTTCTTTTTCTCTTTTTTTTTTTTAAGAGAAAGAGAGAATTTTTTAATATTTGTTTTTTAGTTTTCAGCGGACACAACATCTTTGTTCGTATGTGGTGCTGAGGATCAAACCCGGGCCGCACGCATGCCAGGCGAGCGCGCTACCACTTGAGCCACATCACCAGCCCCTGGATTTCTTTTTCATTCTTTAAGTCTGGGAAGTTTTCTAGTATTATTTCATTGAATAGATTGCTCATTCCCTTGGTTTGGACCTCTATACCCTCTTGTATCCCAATAACTCTTGGGTTTGGTTTCTTTATGTTATCCCATAATTCTTGGATGTTCTGCTCATGATTTCCTAACATTCTCGCTGAGCTGTCTATGTTCTTTTCAAGTTGAAAAACTTTGTTGTCTGAACTTCTATCTTCTAAGTGTTCTACTCTGCTGGTAATACTCTCATTTGAGTTTTTAATTTGGTTTATTGTTTCCTGCATTTCCAGGATTTCTGTTTGTTTGTTTTTTATATCCTCTATCTCCCTATAGAGTTGATCTTTTGCTTCTTGGATTTGTTTATGTAATTCATTGTCAAAGTGATCTTTCATTGTCTGAATTTGCTGTATAATGTCTTCCTTGAGACTCCAGATCATCTGAAGCATGTATATCCTGAACTCTTTGTCTGACATTCCATCAGCTGCAGATATTACCTCATCTAATGTTGAATTGACCTGTATTGTTTGTGGTCCTTTCTTTCCTTGTCTTTTCATACTGCTTATGATTCTTTCTAGCTTTGTGAAACTGTTGTGTTAATGTTTTTCCCCTTATATATTTGTATTGTTCTTGTATAGCTCCAAAATCCCTCTTTTGCGGAGAAAGACAATGTTAACAGTTCCCAATATCAACAGTACATTATCTAAGCACAAGTTTTCATTATTAATACATTTATAGTTAGATTCTAAGTCTATAGATATTGGTTTGAATTATTACTTAAGAATATATTCATTAGTTTTATAAAAGGCATACCATATCTGGTGGCATATAGAAAACTTAATTTCAGACGAAGGATGTTATACTTAGAGGGAAAGGAGTGAGGGTATGAGGTTAAACTAACTTAGCACCTTTGGAGAACTCTAACCAATAGACTGGTAATTTATGGAAGAATGTATAGACTCAACCTCCTATCTGTATTTAGATAGTTACCCTATGTATAGATAGCAAAATTTAGGAGATTGAAAGTGGGATAGAGAGAATACGAATGAAAAAAAAAAGAAAAAAAATAACAAGGAAGAAAAGAGAAATAAGAGAGAAGGAAAAGGAAAGTAAGATAGAAATAAAGGAAAAAAATGGGGGGAAGGTGGGGTATATGCAATTCCTCTATATTATATTACTTTGGTAATTCGGTTGTTCATGCACAGTTCTTGGTTTCACATATGTTGAAGTTGTGGAAGAGAGAGAAGAAAAGAGAGAGAGAAAAAGAAAAGAAAAGAAAAAAAGGTCTCAGAACACTGTTTTCCTTGCTTCCTATAGGTGGCATTGTCTATTCCTAGCTTGAGCCTCTGTATTCAGGGTGGTGGGTGGGTATAGCCAGTTTGAAAGGAAATGAGCTTCCACCTGTATCTTCCCTACTCTAGTCTCTGAGGTAGAAACCAGGTGCCTGTACAGTTGTTGTTTTGCGTTGATAGCTACAACCCCCAAAAGCTTGTAGGAAATATTTTGAGTTATCGCACCTAAGGGTGGGGGAGTTGGAAACTGGGTACCTGGATCAGCCGCGCTGGTAGCCACTCCCCCTTTGATGGGTTTTAAGGGTTGATGGGCTTCCTCCAGACTAGCACACTACTGGCACATGGGACGGGGCCGGGCTTCCTCCTCCGGTCTGGCTTGGCGCTGGGCGGCTTCCTCCTCCAATCTGGCTTGGCTGGCGCCGCGTGCCTACCTTTTTTTAAAATTAATTTTATAGATTGTTGATGTGGGTACTATTAAAATATTTGGTTTTTTTGAAAGAAAGCATTGAAGAGATGATTTTGAAAATTGAAGTGATCTGGATAATTTCCACAAAAATTTTTTTAGATTGAGAATTACATTGTTTTTAACATTCAAGTTTTTGTTTATTTGTTTGTTTTGGTACTGGGGATTGATCCCATCGGAGCTTAATCTCTGAGCTACTTCCCCAGTCATTTTCTGTTTTTTTGTTTTTTTTTTGAGATAGGGTCTCACTAAGTTGCTGAGGCTGGCTTTAAACTTTGAATCGTCCTGCTTCCTGAGTCACGGGGATTATAGGCACACAACACCATGCCTGGACTCTTCCAAGTTTTTGTCTTAGAAAATGAATGTTTCTATTTCATTTTACCATCTTTGTAGGTTTCAGTGACATCTGAGAGAATCTTTGTTTCTAAAATTTGTTTCAATTATTAGAAGTCAGAGTCTAATAACACTGGGACAGTAACATTTTCTAATAGTGTGTTAGGGTTTATATAACTTTAATGTAACCTGTTTTTGTGAAGAGATGTTAATTTGGTTGTATTGTTCCTTTTATAATTTCAGTTAGTGCTTACTAACTGAATGTAACAAGGTCATGAAAGTAATCATTTTTGTATTCTTTATATTTGACTGTATTTGATAGGCTCATGTGTTCCCCGTTCAGCTACCATTTGCAGAGGAGTCAGATGAATGCCTCCCAAAAGTTTTAAACAGCAATCCCCCACTCATCATAAAGGTACCTGGACTATGCTTTTTGTATCTTTACACAGTTATCTCTAACTTATCTTGTAGAACCAGACTAATATTTAGCATATTTAAGAGTGTGTGTGTGGGTGTGTGTGTGTGTGTGTGTGTATTTTTAGGGCCTAGAATATTTTAGTACTTTTGTTTTTAAGACAAGGTCTCATTGTGTTGCCTAGGCTGGCAACTCCTGGGTTCAATTGATCCTCCTGCCTCAGCCTCCCAAGTAACTGCGACTATAGGTGCATGTGCCATTTAAGCTAACTAATTCTGTATTCAGGTAAGATAAAAAAGATTTTCCAACTGTAAAATTCAGTGGTATCCAACTATATGCCTCAGTTTTTCAGATTGTTTTTGGTAGCAAAGTGTTTTTTAAATCGTTAGATCGAGACTTTTTTTTTTTTTTAACTCATATAGTATTTGTTGACTTTTATGATCAAAGATAATGTTTGGTAGAATATAGACATTTATGAACTCTCTTTAAATATGAATTACTGATAATGATTATAAAACAAAAAAAAGAAAAAAAATTTTTTTTGGTGCTGGGAATTGAACCCAGGGATGATTTACCATTGAACTACATCCCCAGTTCTTTTTTAGTTTTATTTTGAGATAGGGTCTTGCTAAGTTGCTAAGTGTTTCACTGTATTGCTGAGGCCGGCCTTGAACTTCTGATCCTCCTGCCTCAGGGTCCTGAGTCACTAGGATTACAGACAGGCATGTGCAACCTTGCCCAGCTTGTAAAACAAATTATAATCAAAAAAGTTTAAAAGAAGTTGGAATAAGTTTACAAATAAACCTAAGTAAATATAAATTGTTTTGATTTAAACTATAATTTGAAATTTTAAAATAGATCTACAATATGTGCTATTCTCTTAAAAGATCACAGTATTTTAAAAAGAACTAAATTAAACAAAGGATGTAGCTGAGGATGTAGCTTAGTGGTAGAACACTTCCCTAGCATGTGCTAGATCCTGGGTTCTATCCCTAGTACTACAAAAACAACACAAACAAAAAATTTAAAATAGTTAGAACCCAGAATTTTGATCACACTCTAGAGAAGGTATAAACAAATAAGAAAATGAACTATTGGGACTCTACTTGCCTTTAAATATCAATTATGACTAATTTGTTAGATGAACTTAAAAATATCAGTTATTCATCTGATTGCTTATCCAATCTTCATTTAGTGGGCAGGTGTTATAGTCACTGCAGTTGCTAGAGATAGAATGATGAATAAGATATAGCACAGCTTAGTGGAAAAGGCAGACGCACATTAACATCTACTGTGGCAAGTGCAATGGGACCACTTACATTGCTTGGAACCAAACAAGAAAACTTCACAGAAGGTGTGGTATTTTGAAGGATGAATGAAGAAGCCTGCCAGAAGAGGGAAAAAAAAAAAGAAAAATTCCAGTAAAAAAGTAACAGATATGTGTCTACTGTGTGTTAGGCACTGCCTTTGGATGTGGTGGCATTAAAGACAGTCTCCTTCTTATGGGCCTCAGAGTTTGATGGGCAGAAGAAGTAAACAGGCATTTAAAATACATTATGTTAAGTGCCATAATTAAGAGCTCTATGAATGTGTTTATGTGAAGGAGGCCAGGGAAAGTTTCAGAAGGAAATGATGTTTACGTTTCCCACTTCAGAGGTAGAAAAGATCTGAGTTCTGTAGTTCTTTTTTTTCTTTTTTCTTTTTTTTAAAATATTTTTTTAGGTGTAGATGGACACAACATGTACTTCTTTTATATACTTGGAGCCTACAGTGGGTTGTGAGGATAGAAGCAGGAAAGTTCTGGAAGTCTAGATAGGAAGATTATGGTTCTGAAATATTTCTTTCATGAAAAAGTCCATTTGATTTCCCCTTGGATATATGAATAGCCCAATTCATAAGTAAGATTTAATGTAGAGGTTAAGAAATTAAATAATGTGTATTTTTTTTTCCTTTTAGTATTTAGCCTTGCAAGACCTGATGTTACTTTCTCAGTATTCTCCTTCTCGAAGACAAGAAGTTTTTAGCCTTAGCCAACCAGGTATTGCTAAAAGTAATAGAGCTCATTAGGTGTGTGTGTGCAGAAAGTACTCCACTAAAAGTTTTGGGTGAGAGAGGTGTATGTAATAAAATATCACACATCAGTGAGTCCCTTAAATGAAGTGTTGACTTGAATCTTATACAGCATAAGTGTTTGTATTGCTGTGGGTAGAATTTATGTCACTTGTAAGAGTATTTATTTTCAAACTTTTATATCCTTCAGCTCCCTCAATACTCATAATTTCAGTTCTACAAGAAATTATGCAGTGAGTTGACAGTTTTAGAGCAGAAAAGTACAACTTAAGAATAAAGATTTTAGGCTGCAAGGAGTCTTATAAATCAGGTGGTCTAATCCCTATGTGGGAGATCTAATTAGAGTAAGGGGCTTAAATTGGAATAAGAATTCTGTTATTTGACTCCAATTATAGTTTTCTCCTGCTATGCTCCTCTGCCTCCCTCTAAAAGAAAACAAAAACAAGAAGTAGGTATGTCATCCTGACTTAAAAGCTGAGGCAGGAGGATCCCAAGTTTGAGGCCAACTCGAGCAACATAGCAAGACCTGTCTCAAAGGAAAGTTTAAAAAAGGGCGAGGATGTAGTTCAGTATTTATCAAGTGCAAGGCCATGGGTTCAGTCCTCAGGACAGGGGGAAAAAGTAGGAGGAACTAGATTTGATGGCCCAAGGATGTTCTTGGCAGCCTTGCTGTACTTCTCCACTGTGAACTTGCCAAGCTGTTTGACACTGTAACTTTGCCAGGTTTCTGCCATGTTCCTAGAGGAAACTGTCCCGCCCCAGCCTCCAGTGGGGAACAGAGACCACGGGTAGCTTTTCATCTTCTTTCTAATTAGTTCATCATTATTTTGCCAAACTGAGCCATCCCAGATTGTAAAAGAACCTACTATAGTTAAATGTGATATAGAAATGAAATCTAATTAGGTAACAGTTTAATTGACTGGAGCCATTCTTTTAGTTGTAAGAAATCCAGAGCTTATACTGTGGAAAATTAACTGTAAAAACACTTTTCTATCAAACCTAGATTAATTTAGGAATTCTTTGTATATTATTTTCCAGAGATTCAAGTAAACTCTAACAGGGTAGCATGTATTCTGCCAGAGAACTTGCACTGTAGGGCATATTATTAAAATTTAACTAGAATATTACCCAGTTCCTAGTGATCCTGAGTTATAGCAGTACATAGCATCCTAAGGCCCTATTGATGGACTACTTTTTTTGTGTATTTATTTGCAGGTTAAGTGGGATTCCTCTTAAGTTGTGTAAAAGGGGAAGATGTTTAAGGAGGGATCTAATTGAAGAGGAAATGATTGGTACACAAGATGGGCAAAACAGTATTCAGAGACTCTCCTGTTCTCAACGTAACAAAGCATACTTGATTTTTACATAACTCTAGGAGACAAAGGTCTTAGAAAATGAAGACAAAGAAGAATAAGGGAATTTTTGAAGGAGTGGGGTTTACTGGTTTAAGTAAAATAATAAGACAGCAGATATATGAACTCTTCACATTTAAAGTTTAATCATTATCAAATAATGAGTCATTCCTAGCGATGTTATAACTAATATTGCTGTTATACACAAGTCTTCCCCTTGTTTGCAACATATGTTCCAAGACCCCCGGTGGATGCCAGAAACTGGATAGTACCAAACCCTTATATGTACTTTGTTTTTTCTAATACATGCATACCCATGATAGAGTTTATAAATTAGGCACAGTAACATTAACAAAAAGAAGAAGGAAAATAGAACAGTTATAACAATATACAGTAACAAAATCACCAGTACACTACCCTTGTGCCATGGGGCCATTATTATGTAAAATAGGATAGTCAGATATTAGTACTTTAATATCATGTCAGTCAATATGATAACTGAGACAGCTTCTTATGCACAGTGTAAAACTTTTGGATTATTTCTGAAATTTGCACTTGATATTTTTGGACTATGGGTAACTAAAACTAGACAGGAAATAAAACTGAGCATTAGGAGGTACTACTGTAAAAGGAAATGTAAGGAGACACAGTAGACCATACACACAGGTCTCTGGGTTTATTTCATTGGACTGGCCTTCATTGTCCACAGTCTTAGCAGTGTGTTCAATATTGCTAGTGAAGTAACCCTGGTTTTTCTCAATCAAACCATGATCTAAAGTTTGGCTCTATTTTAGCAGCCAGTTTGAGAGCTTTTCAAAGGTAAAATAGCAAGATTTTGGGAAAACTGATTCATCCAAAGACCTGTGGAATAGCTATGTATTAGATGGCTTGGAGATACATAGTAGCTTAATTAGGAAAAGTGGGCCAAGGTGTAACATTGATATAACATTTCTTATTGATTCTCCCACCTCTGACTTTGAGAGGAAAGTATTAGATTATCTTAAGAGCTGTTGTTTGGCCTCCTAGGTGGACACCCCCACAACTGGGCAGCCATTTCAAGAGAGTGTTTGAATCTTTTAAATGATATGACTCAGAAATTGGTTCTCTACCAAGAAGCTGCTGCTACAAATGGGAGAGTGTCTTCATCATACCCAGTGGAACCTAAGAAATTGAATTCTCCAGGTAATTTTGAGTACCCCTAAGAGCGGGAAAAGCATTTACATTTTATTTTCTAAGAAAGATGACAGTAGTTAGTCTGAGGAAACTTATATATATGAGTGTGAGATGTTTATTTTTAGGGAAAATTGATCTAACATTTGGGATATTTTATTAACCAAGAAAGAGACTTGAGTATCATTGTAGCCTGAAAAACATTTAAGTCTAAAACATCAAGTCATTGCACACCAAAAATATATAAATTTTTCATTTGCTTATTAATAGGATTTTTAAGGTTTTTTTTTTTAATTTTTAAAATTAGTTGTTGATGGACATTTATTTTATTCATTTATTTATATGTGGTACTGAGTATCGAACCCAGTGCCTCACACATGCTAGGCAAGTGCTCTACCACTGAACCACGATACCAGCCCAGGATTTTTAAAGTTAAGTTGAATGTGGCAGTGATCTTTAAACGACTGATGAAATGATGGTCATTAAATATAAGACTTCAGTAGAAAGCCAGGTAAATCTTTATAAATAATACTGAGTACTGTTTTGGTTGCACTGTCCCAGAGACAATAAGTTGCTGGTCTAGAGAAGAGCAACTGAAATGATTGATTTGGAGAGAAGCATCACACTTATTTTTTTAAAAAAAAAAATATTTATTTTTTAGTTTTAGAAGGACACAATATCTTTATTTTATTTTTATGTGGTGTTGAGGATCGAATCCAGCGCCCCACGCATGCCAGGCGAGCGCGCTACCGCTTGAGCCACATCCCAGCTCCACACTTATTGTTTTGAGATGACTTAATGTGATTTAGTGACCCTTCCATTTCAAAGATAAAAACTGAGAGGAAGTAGTACAGGTGGGGGAAACTATGCTATTTCACCAAATACCTTAAGTAGAAAATGCCCACAAATGTAAGACTGATAAAAGGAATTAATGTTTGCAGCTACGCACTTAATGAAAGCAGGTGAACCTGTCTGGTTGAGGATAGTAGTAAACTTTATAGCACAGGCTTCATTTCATCTCAAGGGGAGGCTGAGGGTCAACTGCCTTGTTCCCATGTTGGGATTTAGATACAGTATCTTTTCTCCCACTGAGCTACATCCCCAGCCCTTTTAATTTTATTTTTGAAATAGAATCTCACCAAGTTGCCAAGGTTTGCCTTGAACTGGTAATCTTTGTGCCTCAGTCCCCTGAGGTGCTGTAGTCTGATATTTTAAAGAAACATCTGAAATCTAAAAAAAAAAAAAAAAAATTAGTTGAAAATTTTTACTTTTTAAACATTGGCAGCTATGATATGTATACATCATTGTATGAAGCGAAACAAACTCATCTGTTTTTGAAGTTATTGGAGGGATTCTAGCTTAAAAACAAATAGATTACACATGAAAAATAATTTAAATGAGATCATCAATGTAAGATTTTAAAAGATTCTGGAGTGTTTCAGATGTTACCACCTTTCACATAGTCAACAAATATGTATTTGTTTCATTTATTCAACGAACACTGAATGCTTTCTATATAATAAACTGTGTTAGAAGCCAGAGAGTTACAGATGAAAAAATTGTCTTGGAGCTGTTTTTTTTAGGGGGGAAAGAATGAAAACAGTGACAAGACAGTTTAACTGTTAAAAGGAAATGTGTCAAAAAAGTCTGAGTGGGTAAGATGATATTTGATAATGAAAGGAGGACTTTTATGCTACCAAAAACATTTTTTTAAAAAAGGATTTCAGATTTAATTCTTTTGGGATATGGCACTACTAGAGAATCTTGAATAGGCATATTCTATCAAATGAGTGTGTTAGAAATCCTGGATTGGGTATATCATGGGTCTAACCAAACAGTGGACATTCATTATTTTAAATTGTTGTATTCTATTACTCAGCCAAAATTGGCCTCTAATTTTGAGGAATAATTGCAAGACTTTTAAAAACCTCATTCTTAGTGTAGAATGATTCTTCAAAGATTTTTAATTTTCACTAACCCTTAAAAAGTCATGTAATGAAAATTTGGTACTTTGTTTAATTTCTTATTAACAAATTTTAACTAAGAAGATAGAATCCTAGTGCAGTTTGTCTTTGTGTCTGGTGCTAGAGTGTCAGGAAAATTCATAACTTAATAACTACCATAAATTGGTAGAGCTATAAGTTGATTTTAAAAGAAGGTGTTTATAGGTGAGATTTATAGGGTCAGATTAATAGATACCTTGGGCAAATTAGTCTTTGGAATGGCTTTTGTTAATTTGAAAGAACATTGGGGAAAAAGTTAACTCTTTTTTCCTGTACATTTTTATAGTGTAGATTCAGTATGTTTAGCCAAATAACAGTTATAGTAGGAACATGCAGTAAAAGTGGACAACTTCAAATGCAGTAATTAAAGGTGTCATTTAAAAATAAAATGTGTTGGGGCTGGGATTGTGGCTCAGCAATAGAGCACTCGCCTAGCACCGGTGGGCCCAGGTTCGATCCTCAGCACCACATAAAAATAAAAGGCATTGTGTTGTGTCCATCTACACCTAAAAAATAAATATTTAAAAAATAATAATAATAAAAACATAAAATGTGAATTGATGAATTCATTCCAAATAGCTTAAAGTTAGAGAAATTGAAATTGACCTTGAAGATAAACATTTTTTAAAAAAAATATTTTTTAGTTGTTGGTAAACCTTTTTTTCATTTATTTGTATGTGGTGCTGAGAATCGAACCCAGTGCCTCACGCATGTTAGGCAAGTGCTCTACCACTGAGCCACAACCCCAGCCCTTGAAGATAAACATTTATGGAGATGAACAAAACAAAAGAAGCTACAACAAACTGACAAGAAAAAAAGATACAAAAAGCTTCTTGAGTGGTTATTGAACTGCAGAAGTAAAACCTGACTCTTGGAATATAAACCTTAAAGGAAACAATGTACTGAGCCTTGGGTAAATGTGTTAAACAGAAAATTGAGATGCATAAAATTTGGGGACCTCCATGGTAGCCTGTTTGGATTAAGGTGACTCTTGAGTTTTGGGTCTGTTCTTTTACAGAAGAAACTACTTTTCAAACACCAAAATCTAGTCAGATGCCTCGATCTTCAGTGCCACCATTAGTTAAAACATCATTGTTTTCTTCAAAATTATCTACACCTGATGTTTCAAGTCCTTTTGGGTCCCCGTTTGGCTCTAGTATGATGAATCGAATGGCTGGAATTTTTGATGTAAACACCTGCTATGGGTCACCGCAAAGTACTCAGTTAATAAGAAGGGGGCCAAGATTATGGACTTCTGCTTCTGGTAAGGACTATTTGTTTTCTAAAATTTGAAGTCTCATAGTTGCAGAGGATCAAACAGCCTAAGTTCTTACTATTTTTTTTTTTAATGTAGATCAGCAAATGTCGGAATTTTCTAATCCTTCTATGGAGAACATGGGCACTTCTATGAGTGCTGAGGGTAAGACTGTGAGACAACCCAATGTGATTTATTCATGGATTCAGAATAAACGTGAACAGGTAATATGATATGGGTACATGATTTATATTTACATGTAACGTTGAGAGCATTCAGATTCTCACATAAGCATGCTATTAGGAATAAGTAGGTTTTGTTTTGTGGTTTTTATTTGTTTTGCTTTTAATGCTTTGTGTATCAGGTTGGCCCATAAGAAATTGCCAGTATTTAACTGGTTTGAGTTAGACAAATTGCAATTTCATAAGAATTGATCTAATACAATACCTTTCATATATGAATTCTTTCACTTAAAAAATATTTGAGTTCTCTGTAAATGTAGGATGCTGTCTTAGGCACTGGGGAAAACAGTTCTTATTTAATCCTAGTGAGGGGAAATAGAAGAGCAAGCACACGTGTCATATTTCTTTGCCATTAATTGAATTAATGTAAGACATACTTTAGTTACTATTACATTTTAAAGTAGCCTTAAACTGTGACATGCTATTAACATAAGATGTATCCTGATACCATGTTCAGGATATGAAAAATACAGTTAAATGGAATGAAATTTGGTACATCTTAAGTCTTACATAGAAAAAAGTCTTGGTAAAGGAAATAGAATACCTAAGGGAGGAAGTACCATTTTATGTGGAATGACCAGGGAAGTCTCATTGGAAAGGTGACATTTGATCAGAGGCCTTAAGGGAAGGAGGGCAGGGGACAACAAAATTCAAAGACCCTGAGCGGGGAGTGTACTTGTTTTGTGTGAGGAACAGTGTGGACACGGGTGTGACTGAAGTACCCTAAGTGAGGTAGAAGAGTAGGTGGGTGATGAGGCCAGAGCTTATTGTGCCATTAGCAGTTATAAAGACTGGCCTTTTCTCTGAGTGAGATGGAAAGCCACTGAATAGTTTTTTTCTCCACAAGAATTATATGATATAACAACATTTTGAAAGTGCTACTCTAGTGGTTGGGTTGATACTAGACTCCTGGAGTCTAGACTTGCCAACCTACACAGGAGTGGAAGCAGAGACCATGTTAAAGCTGCTGCATAGTTTAGTGGGGGATGGTGGTGTCTGTGACCAGAGAGGTTCTGGTGGGGACTGTAAGAAGTGATCAGGGTTTGGGTATGTATTTTCGGGTAGCTGTTACAGAATTTGCTTATAATTTGCAAATATAAGAGAACGAGTCAATGTTAACTAAGGCTTCTGGCCTGAGGAACTGAAATAATATAGTTGGAATATATTGAGGCAATTATTTGATTATTCTGGAGGAGGAGATTTGATAGAGGTGAGTAGAGGAAATGAGGAGTTTGATTTTAGACATGACAACCTTGAGATACCTGTTTGATAACTAAATGAAAATATTAAGATTAAGATCTTAATTAAGATTTATTTATTAAGATTTGGAAGTCATCAGAATATAGACAGTATTTAAAGCCAAAAGACTCAGTGCAAACTCTTAAATATAAATATAGAAGAAAAGAGATCCAAGAGCTGGGTCCTCCCCTGACTGATATTCTAGAGATGAGGGAGAATAGCAGAGGATGTTGAGGTAAACAGAGAACTGGGGAAGGAGTGTTTTGAGAAGGAGGGAACATCAAATGCATGGGTTCAGGAGGAATTGGGAGAGGAACTGGAGACTGCCAGAAAAGCCATACCTGTCAAGGTGTTTTACTGTAAATTTAGCAGAGAAATGGGGCAATAGTAGGTTTTTGTTTATAAGATGGGAGAAATTATAACATGTTTATGATGGAATGATTGGCTAGTAGAGAGTAATTAAAAGCATTTTGTAAACCTCAGGATCCTATGTGGCTCTATCTGCTGTAAGTACTACCATGTCATTTTTTTTTTTTTTTTAACCATCTCATTTTTAAGTCAGGTTAGTTTTTAACAAAGAAAATTTTGCTTCCTGTAAATGTCACCTAGTAGAAAACTACTTTGTGTCTTTTCTCTAGGGTACACATGCTCTTTTTATGGTATAAGAGGTTAAATGGCAGGACAGTTTCAGAGAATTAAGAAAGAATATAGTCTTAGAAAACATCACTAGAATAATCGAGAATTCTATTATGATCAGGCTGTAATTGGGTGTTAAATGTATGTATATGGGAACACAGTGCAATTTAGGTTAGGTCGCTAATCTTGGCTCTCCGGTTTATGGTACAAAGGTATTTACTTAATAATTGTAAATTATAAATTTACTTACATTGTAAATTTTCTTATTCTATCTCTGCAAGTTATGAGATGATGTTTTCATATTTTCACTTAAGTTAATGTCAGGAGGAACTTGGAAATGTGTAATATATATGAGTAGAATTAAAAATGTAAATGTGTTATTTTTTCCATCTCAGATTAAGAATTTCTTGTCAAGACGGGTGTTGATAATGTATTTTTTCAGTAAGGTAAGAATATGAAATTATAGCCTTAAGAATGTGGGGAGAGGAAATGAAATAGGAAGTGAAGTAGCAGATAGGATCTGACTGTAAATATTTTATAACTTTATTCTGGCAAGCCATGCAGCTTTGCCTAGCACTTCATTGAGCCTCCATTTGAACAGTAGTCACCCTACATACACATCTCACCTCAGTTCCTTCCTGGGGCTGGACTTACTGCAGTTGGCTTCCTGAGACTCTTGGCTGGGGGCAGCTTTGTGCTGGTATATAATAGCGACCCCTTCTTGCTATTTGCATCTTCACTAGTGAGCAACCCATGGCTTCCTGATGCTTGCTTCATGGCTTCATTTTCCTGTCAGTGTCTTTGTGACCAACTTGGTGTTTAAAGGAGAGATGACTTGAGTTAGATGACCAATGTTAAATCTGTGATGGATAAAAAGTTGTATTTCAGGCCACGAAAAAAAGGACTTTCCGACTTGCCAACATGCTATCACAACTGCCTGGAAAGTCATTCTCAATCATAGAAGCTGAAGACTCACTTCTGTTCACGTGACTGTAGCTGTTGAGTGATAATCAATCTTTTTTTTTTTTCTTTTTTAAAGCACAAGTTTTTTTTAAAGCACAAGGTTTTTTTTTTAGAGAGAGAGAGAATTTTTAATATTTATTTTGTTTTTAGTTTTCGGCGGACACAACATCTTTGTTTGTATGTGGTGCTGAGGATCGAACCCGGGCCGCACGCATGCCAGGCAAGCGCGCTACCGCTTGAGCCACATCCCCAGCCCCTTAATCAATCTTTTGATGATAAAACCTTTGCCCATATGTTAGAAAAAATTTTGGTTTTAGTTTTTTAAATCTAACTTTTGACTTTCTGTATTATCAAATACATTGCCATATTATCAAATGGGCTGATGTTGCACATTCAGTTAATACATTCAAATGAAAGTTTGCATTGGCATCCATTATTTATTTTTATTCTTTGGAGTCATCCTCTGATGAGAACAACCTTGATTGAATTTAGACACACATAAGAATAATTTCAAGTTGTGTGTATATGTTTGTGTGTGGTGCGTATCTGGAGATTAAACCCAGGGGTACTCTACAACTGAGCTATATCTCTAGCTATTTTTAAATTTTGAGACAGTCTCTTTAAATTGCTGAGTCTGGCCTCAAACTTGTGATCCTTCTGCCTTAGCCTCCTGAGACACTGGGGTTATAGGTGTGTGCCACTGTGCCTGCCACAAGTTCCCCAAACTGCCTTTTCAGTTGGTGAAAGGGAAGATCCACTCAACTAATGATTACCTCTACCAAAACATTATCTTCCTTGGGGTGTCCATTAGAAAAAGATGTCTTTCACCAAGAAGATGAGGGGGGTCTGATGTTTTACTTCAGTGCTTGGTTTCAGAAGGAGGGGAAGAAAACTCCCCTTAAATGTTTTTCACATATGTTGTGCTTTTTCACTTAAATCCCTTCTTTTGAATTATAACAGCTTTTCTGTGAGATAGGTCTTTCTGTCCTCAAGGAAACCTGAGGTACATAGTGAGTGTTGACCCTAACCAAAATCTCCTTTTCTCTTGGGAGTGAATGCCTGCTTTGATATTAATTTTGCAAGTGGATTTGTTATATGATAGAGAGTTATAGATACTGTTGTTTGATATTGAGAAATGTAACTTAATAGTTTGTTATGTTGTACTTTATAGTCTTCATTGGGCATGTAAGTAAAGCCAGGATTTGTTTAAGTGGGGCAATTGTTGCGCCACAGTATCTTACCCTGATATATTAAAGAAGATAGGGTGATTTTTCTTTGGAGTGGAGTTGAAAGTAGACAATTTCAGAGAGATAATATGTATTTAAAAAATCTTACGGTTTAAAAAGAGCTTTTGTAACTATTCTCTTAAGTGATCTCTGTCCTTATCCTCTGAGGTGGGTTCAACATACATGACATTTTAAATGAGAAACTGAGGCACATAGACATGTAGAGATTTGGGAAGGGTCACAAGAAGTTGGGGTAGGATGTTTTTTTTTGTAGTTAAATTATATTATATAAGAATTTATTTCAGATTTTAATTCTTAATACTCTGTACTGTTGGTAAAATGATACATAGTTTTTGCCCATAGGATCTTATTTTAATTATTTATTTATTTATTTATTGGTAGCATCCAGAGGCCTCAATTCAGGCTGTGTTTTCAGATGCCCAAATGCATATTTGGGCATTAGAAGGTAAGCAATTTCTGTGAACTGTAACTGTGATTTTAATTATCTGTCAAATAATGAAGTATAATCTATGAAAAGTCATTTCTGGACTTTGATCTCAATCTTCATATTTTTCAGGCGCATTTTTATATCTTTGTTTTATATAGATCACTTTTCTTAGATATTTAAGTTGTTTTTGTATGTACAACATACATAAATATTTTCTTAGATATTTAAGTTGTTTTGTTTTGTTTGTACTGGTGAGGATTAAACCCAAGGCCATCTGCATGATAGGCAAGCTCTGCCACTGAGTTATACAGCCCAGTCCTAGGTGTATTTTGATTTGGACAAAAAATTTTTATCATAAATAAGCAGAGAAATTGAGTCTGGGATTCATTCATATCTTTCTGTACCTCAAAATATTCAACCAACAGATTATTATTTTTTTATTATTTTTTATACCTTTATTTTATTTATTTATTTTTATGTGGTGCTGAGGATCGAATCCAGTGTCTCGCATGTGCGAGACAAGTGCTCTACCCAGCCTCAGTTTATTTTTAACTTATGTTAAATACGAAAACTTAATTGTTAAAGAATTGTTTCTTGTCAAGTACCAGCATGCACACCTGTGATCCCAGCTATTTGGGATGCTGAGGCAGGAAGATTACAAGTAGGAATGTAGCCCAGTGGTAGAGAGCTTGACTAGCATACATGAAGCCCTGGACCAATTCCCAGTACCCCACATCTCTAAAGGTCTGTTTTTTTTTCATCTTATAGACACTACCTTACTACCTTCCCAATGCTTAAGTGACTCTGAGAGTGGACTTTCTGACCATTCTGTGAAAAGTATTCAAACAGTTGTCACTAATCCTTTGTTCTTCCAAGCATTTATCACATCTCAATATATTTTGTTTTAATTTTAGTACTGTGGATTAAACCCAGGGATGCTTAACCACTGATTCATATCCCCAGCCCTTTTTATATTTTATTTTGAGACAGGGTCTTGATAAACTGCTCAGAGCCTCACTAAGTTACTGAGACTGGCTTTGAACTTGTCATCCTCCTGCCTCAGCCTCCTGAGCTGCTGTGATATACACTACCACACCCAGCTAGGAGTGTTCTATTTCTCAGCTACATCTCCAGGCCTTTTTATTTTTTATTTTGGTATAGTGTCTTGCTAAGTTTCCCAGGCAGACCTTGAAGTTGTGATCCTCCTGCCTTTAATTTCCCAAGTAGCTGGGATTATAGGCATGCACCACCATGCCCAGCTATAACTCCATTTATTAAAAAAAAAAAAAAAATTCCCTGATAGAATTAAATCAGAAACTTTGACCACTTATTCATGACTAAGGCAGTTGAATGCTTTTTTTTAGTGTTGATTCTCATCTTTTGCCTATTTGTTATCGAATTGCCCCTCTTATTTATAGTTCTTTTTATATTCAGAATATTAATCTTATTTCAGATAAATGTATTGCAGATAGATTGGCCTAATTTTGATGCACATTTAACTTTTTCTCTTTTTCCTTTGAGGTCTATCACACTTGGTAGCAGCATCATTTACAGAAGATAGATTTGGAGTTGTTCAGACAACGTTACCAGCTATCCTTAATACTTTGTTAACACTGCAGGAGGTAAGCAGTCTGTATGTGGGGTGTGGGGAGAGGTTATTCTTCTCACTTCCCCAGCTTTTCTATTTATATATCATATTTATTTATTGAGTAACCAAACATGTTGGAAATTAAGGTAATGATATTGTTTTCACCCTTAGAAAATTACAATCTAAAATACAGCAGGAAGAGAAGACTTTTAATTGTATAAATTTTATAGGAAAAAAAGTATACTGTAAGTGTTGATGAGCATGTATGTACACTCATACATTGCTCGTGGGACTGCAAATTGGTGCAACCACTCTCGAAAGCAGTAAAGAGATTCCTCAGGAAACTTGGAAGGGAACCACCATTTGACCCAGCTATCCCACTCCTCAGTTTATACCCTAAGGACTAAAAATCAGCATACTTTAATGACGAAGCCACATCAGTATAATTGTAACAGCTATTTTACCTCTTAGAAAGTCTTACTCGTCAAAAATAGTGATTTTAGTTTTAAGTATTATTTGTGCCCACTTTCTCAGATATATTATTTGAGATGCATATGTCCACATGGTTGTTTTCAGTATTTTCCTTTGAACACTTGGCTTGTCTAACTATACAGTAGGGCAACCATGACTTGAGCATGTTGTCTGTTAGTTCTCACAGAGTCATCCTCATTATTGTCTTGCAAAGTAAGCAAAATGGAGGTAATTGAGCTCTTTTACAAATGAGGGAGACTCAGAAGTGCAGTGACTTACCTTTATCTCACAGGTCTCATTGATGAAAGATCTGGGGTGCAAACCTGGTCTGATTGCAGGGTGTTAGCCATGTAATAGAGCTGGAAAAAGCTGCAGATCCATATCCCTTTATTCTTCCTAAACTTACCATCTTGTCTTATCCGACCCCTGACTCCTATTCCCCAAAGGATTCTTTCTTGAGAGAGAACAGTTCTACCCCTGAAACCTTTTGGACTCTGATCTGCAGTATGTTTATATTCAACTAACTGAGGGTGTGTGTGTAACAGAAACAAGGTTCCTGGTATAGTACTTCCCTTTAGTGTGTGCAGTGAATTTTAACATTTTCCCTTCTATTTCATTGAGGGGAGAAAAAACCATGCTGATTGAAACTGACTGAATTGATTTCACAGATTACACTACCTTCCCTAGAAGTTTTCTACATTGAAATTATTGTTTTCATCCCACCACCATCAAATTTCTAGTTAATTAGAAGGAAAGCAATCTGTTTTTTCCTTGTAGTCATTAGGGTAGGAAGGTGACAATTACAGGTTTGTCAAGAAGTCAGGCCTCATGTACTTGGAAAGAGAGGAGTTGGGATGGAAAAATTCCTTTTGAGGAGTAAAGTAGAAAGAAGCAAAGAGGCTTATTTTGGGATGTTTAGAAGAGGTCAAAGGGACAAAGAACTAGATGATAGGTACTTAAGCAGTGGTACTTAGCCTCTGAGTGTTAAAGCCCTCTTCGTGTGAGGCTGTGGAGTCTGTTTTCTCCTGCACCACATCACAGTCAGCCTTTTGTCGTACTCTTTAGTCAGCAGGTTTTGCACACTAGCTCACCTGTCCTCCATCCTGACTGATTGTAATGAGCAATTCAGTGCTGGATAATCATCTATATCTTGGCTGCACTGGCCTTTGATTTCCTTCTCTTCACTAATCATTTGTATGCCCTCTCAACCCACAGCTATCACACGACCTCATTATCTCCTGAATGTTGCATTTCTAGAGCCTGGGACTCCAGGATTCTACCCTCTAAGCCAAAGTCTTTAAATATTTTTGTGTCTTTGGATGTCTAGTGAAGCCCATGAACTCTCAGAATAATGTTCTTATACATAAAGTACTTAGGATTAGAAAGGAAATCCATTTGTACTGAAATGTAATTATCAAGGTCTTAAGGTTGTGATATAGTAATATGTGCTTGTAAATTGCATTAAATAGCAAATCTGTCAGTGATCTAATAATACCATTTTGAAGTAGTAATAAAATGAATGGTATTTCAAGGTCATTGTAAAATAGTAATATAATAGGAAGATATGGTGTTTCTGTTGGTCTAAGTCATAGAACTGTTAATGGTACAGTAATTAAATTTAATTGCATTTGTAATTAAAACAAGTGCTGTGTTTTAATTTAGAGCTTAGTAAAGATAAATATGTAACTTTTATCCCTTATTCTCAGACTTTTACCCCTCTGTTTTCGGGTTTCCGTGTCAATTCCTTCAACTTCCTTGACCTAAGGTTTTTCAGCTGCGCCATCTGGTAAAACTCCACCTGTACCCACCACTGCTCTATTGTTTTGCCCTTGCCTCCTGTCTCAGCTTTACTTTAGGCTCTTGGCACTTCTGTTCTGAATTATTACTGTGGCCTTTTGTCTCTACTAACCTTTAACTGATATCCTTCATGTTCTGACTCCAGCCACTCTGCCATTCTTCCCATTAGCCCTGCGCTTACACCATGGACAGTTCAGTTTCCCCAAAAGTATATTGTATTTTCTTAGCCTAACTCTTAACTCAGTGCATAGTGCCTTTTCTTTCCTTCTTTGCGGAGAACATATTTTTCTCCATCAGCTTGACTTAGGTCTCTAACTCCTGTCTCAGCACTTTATTGTCTTTGTTTCTACAGTCTCCTGTATTACTGGAGCAGAGGCGGAGACCTCATCTCATTTCTGTATTCCCAGCGTCTGATTTGGTACCTGGTGACAGGTTCTTATTAAATGCTTGTTGGGTGACTGCTGGATTGCTTCATTTCAGGTTAAGTGAGCAAAAACCTTTGTTCTGGGTCCTGAATTGAGTGACAGTTCTGTTGTAATGTGTTGATTATAATGATCCCAATGGCCCTGTTATTTGAGGGCAGGGTTGTGATGTTATATGTTTTTGGTTTTATGTTCTTTGATTTAAAGGGATACTTGCTCTTGGTGAAGAAAATAATTCTGAGTATCTCTGTAATTTAAGTTGTGCAATACCAGCTCCTGGGTGCTACAAATGAACAATTGTATTGGACTGGTCTGTTCTTTTGTTTTACTTCTCAGTATCAATAACATCAGCCATTTCACTGTGAATCATTAAAGGCAAACCGTGAAAGGAAAGGGGAGCCTTTCACTCTTCAAACTATTCAGTGGGCCAGGAAAGAAGTGATGGATATCTCAAGCCCTCATTCCTGCCAGTGGCCTGGCCACCTGGGAGATCACAATTATTATTAGGGGCTCTTGAGTCCACACACAGGTTACTGTCATCTGAATAATTAATGTGTGTCTTGACATATCTGTACCTATTTTTCAGAGGTTTCTATGTGCTGTTTTGATTAGTTAAAATGCAAATTTATTTGAAAGCATTACTGAATTCATGATTGTTATTTCCTCCAACAGTGATGGAGAACAGCTAATATCCTGTGGAAATTCACAATATTTTTTTTATTGTCCTTATAAAGGGTCTTTATGAATAAAACATTGGGGATCAAAATGTTATTTTTTAATTAAAAATTTTAAATTGTGATAGAATATCCTTAACATAAAATATACCATTTTCTCCAGTTTTTCAGTGGATAGTTCTGTGGCATTAGTATATTCACCACTGTTTATTTTCAGTACTTTTTTTTTTTATCTTCAGAATATGTTTAAATATTTTAGAAAGCCTTGTTTTCTTTGAAAGGTCAGTGTCATGTTGATGTAGATCAGCCCTGTTATTTATATTATATTATATGTGTGTGTGTGTGTGTGTGTATATTTAGTACTAGAGATTGAACCCAGGGGCGTTTAACCACTAAGCTACATCCCCAGCCACCCTGCTTTTTAAAAATATTTTATTTAGAGACAGGGTCTTGCTGAGTTGCTTAGGGCCTTGCTAAGTTACTCAGACTGGCTTTGAACTCAGGATCCTCCTGCCCCAGTCTCCGGAGATGCTGGGATTACAGGGGTGCGTCACCGCGCCTGGCCCCTGTTATGTATTTTTTTTGCCTCATCATTTGAAGGTCAAATTTTGATCTGTTTGGAATATTAAAGTTTACCTTTATGCCATTCACAGATTCTTTCATCCAGTAAATATTTAATTATTAAGGTGTTAGCATACGCTAAGTACAGAATGGAAAAAGAACTGATTTGTGCCCTTTAGGAGCTTGCAGACTGTAAAACAGAGTCATACCAAGAACCAACTACAATTGTAATAAGGCCACAGTGTATAGAAATGCAGAATGATCAGAGAACATAACAGGTGAATCTAAGATAGTCTTGCAAGTAGGGGATAGAAGGAGGCTTTTGAGGTCATTAATGGGTTTCTTGAGAGTGTAGAGGTTAGAAGGGAGAAAGGGAGGGGGTTATTCTTGAGGGTCAGAGCTTTAAGTTTGAAGGACCATAGACTCTTGACCAGTATTCTACAGATCAGAGTCTATTCTCTTTTTTTGAAAGAGAGAGAGAATTTTAATATTTATTCTTTAGTTTTTGGCGGACACAACATCTTTGTTTGTATGTGGTGCTGAGGATTGAACCCGGGCTGCACGCATGCCAGGCGAGCGCGCTACCGCTTGAGCCACATCCCCAGCCCCAGAGTCTATTCTTTGTTTCCCTAGAATTTAATGCTGCTTGGCCTACATTTGTGTAGTACTTTAAAAGAAATGCTTTACAAAGATTTTTGTAACAACCCTATGGGTTTATAACAAGGCTTATTATGTGTGATATAGTCTCAGAAACTGACTAGACTTATTGGTATGATTTATTCAAGATTATATCTAGTAAATGATTGAGTCAGAATTAGAAACCAGATTTTTTTAACCTTAAATCTTAGCAGTCTACCAAATCAGCTTACCTCTTGAGGTACTGGCAGGGTATGCATTTTTTAGCCTCCTTTCTTCTCTCTCTCTTTCTCTTTGTAGTGCTGGGAAATGAACCCATGCTAGGCAAGGGCTCTACCACTGAGTTACATCTCTAGCTCCTTAGCCTCTTTCCTTAAGATGGAATGGCAATGTGGCAAAAGTGCCAAAGTGTGAGGTCTGGCCAGACATATCTGAATTCCAACTCCTACTACTTCCTTGTGAAGTCTTGGAAA